ACTTTTTTAAAATTTTTATTTAACCCCCCCAGCCTACTTACTTTTGGGAATGCTGGGGGGGGTTTCTCCCTCTCCCTGGGGTCTAGTGGGGCTGGGAATGACGTCATATTCTGGCTCCCGGCATTACTGCGGGTCGCGCAAGGGAGCTGAGCAGAGAGCATAGGGGAAAGTGCTCCCTCGCCAGTGCCGCCCGACCGACCGCCCGCCTGGCTTGTCAGTTAGCCACAAGGCTAACAAGACATTTGCCCTGGGCATTTGGGGGCGGACCAAATTTTTCACTAGTGTGGACTATATCAAGGGAGATGTAGTCCCCAACATCTGGAGTGCCAAATTTTGCCGACCCCTGTACTATACCATGGACTTGGAGCATACCCTGTAGCGTGTTTAAATTCTTTCATTGTAGGAACATTGAGAGGACAGGAGACATGATGCAGAAAACATCACAATTCCACCTGCACGAGAACCTCTAACGAAGACTCTCCATCTATCTTATCTTCAAGTCATATTCACACACTCAAAAATGACCTTTTCTTGCAGTAAAATCCCTGCGTATAGTTTTCTGACACATTTTCCCATTGTATAATTAAAGGTTAATGCTGCGACATATTTCTTTTAAGATGAAAGATAGACGTAGTAAGATAGACGGTGAGGCAGGCTAGCAATGTGTGTTGGCCGCTGGGAGGATTGTGCTGGTTTGGCTTGTCGATGTTATCTGTAAAATTACAGGTGTCGTTTTCATTGTTACCTCTTCCAGAGGTTAGGCAACACAATTTTCTTGCAAATTACAAATGTGCGTTCATCAGTTGCTTTTTTTATTTTCCGTAATTGGTATTATATTACTCAGTGACATCTTCTTTCCTATATATTCTAATATCATATAATCTATGTAATATCATCTTTATCACCCAGTCACAAATTACACAGGGGACTTTGTTCAGATTCACTTACATCACCTTGGCCAATTACAGTAAGTAGCTATTGTAATCAGAAAGCAAAAGACCCCAACATATTGCCATCCCGCGATGGACCTGACATATAAACCAGTGGAAGTTTGTACTCTGATTCCTCAATGCACTATATAATATATAATAATATATATAAAACACATACATATATATAAAACACATACATATATATATATATATATATATATATAACACATACATATATATAAAACACATACATATATATAAAGCGTTTGGGTATGGGATTGGCTGCTTTAATGCAAGGTTTGCCAAAATGTTGCTTGTGGTGCTGCATGTGTGGGGTGGCTACTAGTGGTGTTGTTTGTTTCTGGGAGGAGGCGGAGCAGGGTGGGACCAGCGGCAACGTGACCCACTCGGTGCTGGCAAAAAGAGGGCAAGTCATGTATAAGGATGGAGATGGAAGTTTGAAGAATTGCATTTGGGAACTCTACTTTCTATCTGTAATGTAAAGGGGTACGGAGCATATGTGGGTATTTTTTGCCCAGTTTATTAATTTTAGCTGAAAATTGGGCTCAAAAGTTTTAGCACCATATGGTTTATCTATAAAACTGGCATCCTGCAGGGGGCGCTGTATCAGACAGGCACTGTCCAATAAATAAACTTCTATAATGTGTTTAAATATTCATTCCTTTACAAATGCGGGAGTGAAAAAATAAATTGAGGGGCTTCTGTGGAAGGGCAAACCTTTTGGCATATTCACAAAATTCAGGATAAAAAAAATCCCACAAGACCATTTTCGGATTCTTTGCTCATCGTTGGTTGACGTGCGTATAAGACTCTGCGTACTGTGCATGAAAACACAGATTTTTTTAAATGTTATTTTTAATTACAATTTAGCTATGTTGTCTCTTAATAGACTGTACCCTGGGGATCTGTCGTTATTAAAATTACTTGATCTAGACGATTAAAAAAGGAAAACAAGCAATATTTTTAAAATGTCTGGTTTGTGGGTAGCAGAGGGATTGCTCTGCAGCTGTATCAAAACAATTAATTTAAAAAAAAAACACATTGTAAAAGTACAGGATAAAATAGATACTTTATAAAAATAATGGAATATTAAGATCTTTTAAAATTCTGAAATTTTGTAATGAGATTTTTTCAGTTCTTTGCAATTCATTGTTCAGTAAATGAATACCTTGAAGTTAGACGTATAACCACATACAGGTTCTGGAGCGTAGAACGTTCCTTTAAGTAGACAGTGTAGAAGGAGTTATGTCTTAGATCAGGGGTAGGCAACCTTTGGCTCTCCAAATGTTGTGGACTACATCTCCCATAATGCTCCGACAGCCAAAATCCTGGCAAAGCATCAGCACAGATTTATTTAATATTAGGAGTGCCGAGACTTGCCTACCTGTAATAGATTTTAGTATTTGGTAAATTCAGAACTGTTAAGATGCTGGTAGACATTGAAGGCATTTTAAGAGCATACCTGTTACACTTTGAAAGAAGTCAACACTTTTATAAATTACACAAAAATAAGTTCTGCGCTCAAACTCCCACTACTCCTGGGCGGCAGCAACGACTATAGCACACATCAGCCCCAATACATACAATAAAAACCAAAGGAAAAAAAAGAGTTATCTGCGCACTAGCCCAAATCCCTATGCATATTTAAATAAATGGAAGTTATTTATTAACTCCAATAGCCATCAGATGTAAGCCAACCTGCCACGTCAAAGCAAACCTCTTTGGTGGGTTTTATAAAGTGTCTGAATTGCATTCTACCAGCTGTCAATCAGATAGAGACATTTGTGAGTAGCCCCATTGCTGGCTATGACAAGCATTTCAGGCTAGGCATGGTGATTGCCATGTATACACCCTGCATCTCAATGTCGTTCTATAAGAACCATCGGATTAGCCGTGAGATCATCAGCATTGCTGTTTTCTTTTGCATTTATATTAAAGATTTAGCAAATTGCATTACAGTGCAATCCAGCTCAAACCAGGCACAGCCAGTGCACACTATGCAAATGAGAACGAGAAATGGAAGCATTTAATTTTTCCTCTTCTCTGTATGCTCTCTCTGTGCTGACTGCTAGGTGCAAAGGGCAGAGCTTATAACAATGATTGACAGGGAGTTAAGATGGCGGCGCCCAGATATCGGCTAACAAGGTGTGAATTTCTGCTTTTAAAATCACCAAGGCCACTTTATCTCAATGTCCCGGTTCTTTTAGCCGTGCAAAGTAAGACGTAGCAGTAATTCCACCACTGAGAGCCGCCAGAGGCCCATCCACTGCAGTAACTGAGTAAAGCTCAGTCACATGACACGGATGCTCATTGAAAAGCATTGAATACAATACTTTGCTATGGGGAAGCTGGGATGTGTACCTGTGCATGCGCATCGTGTCCCCAGTGCTGTTCAATGAGGAGCATAGATTTGGATCTTCGCTGGAGGAAGCCGTGCCTCCCATTGACGTCACGGGAGGAGGAGAGGTGATCAGCTCTACGGGAGTCTCTGCGCTGGAAAAAAGTTAAGTAACCCCTTTATTTTATTGATTTTATTTGAAAAAGGCAGGGGGTACCTGTATCTAACTAGGGACAGAGGCATTGTAGGGTGCAGGTTTACAGCTTCGTATTCCTAACACTATAGTGTTGTTTTAATTATGTTTATAGGGCATATTTAAACATAATACTAAAACTGATAATAGAAATGGCAGTCCTCTTTAATTCTGGAATCTTGATAAGTAGCTGTATCTGAGAATGATGTGCTTCTGGCATCCTGCACCTAATGACGCATTTGCTGTAAATCCAGCCGTGTCTGGGCTTTTTGCCATCTGGGTCCTTCACCAGAACACTGCTAGCAGCCTATTCTGTTTTTTACAAAGGAAATTTAATCACAAAACTGGAATGGCCCGAACGTCTAACAAAACTAGTTCACAGTAACTCATTTACTTTATTGCCAATAGGGAGTTTCCTTCAAAAAGGAGTACTCTGTCGCCCTCTAGTGCCAAATCATTATAAACATCTAGGAGTAGAGATATGGTTTAAGAATAATTTAAATGAAACAGTTCTCATGGAATAAAAGTAGCAATGTACAATCAAGTGGAATCCTATTAAATTGTACTGTTTACATTATGAGGATTTCTCTTAAAGGAGCACTATAGTGCCAGGAAAACAAACTTGTTCTCCTGGCACTATAGGGTCATTACTCCCCCCCACCCCCCCTTACCCTCAGGGACCCCTCCCGCTGTTTTAAGCTGCAGTGTTAAAACTAGAGGGACCTGGCACCCAGACCACTTGATGCAAAGCATCATGGAAGTTGTAGTTCTACAACATCTGGGTATTTACAATTGGGCTCTCCTGTCCATTCGGTGAGACTGGAGGTACCCAAACATTGTGTCTTAATGTGTGTGGGTCACTATGTGTATGAATGCATGCAGACTGAATATTCAAATACATGAATGTCTACATACTTATCTGCATGTTTGAGAGAGCTGTTTAAATGTATGACAATGCATGTATGAATGATGCTGTATGATTGTGTGATGGTCAGAGTGTTTTATAAAGATGTCCAGATGTAAGCAAGTGAGGATAGCAGTCAGAGTGTGTTTAGGATGCATCAAGGTTAATACATGAAAATACGAAGGGTGTCTCTTACAATTTGTGGATTTAGACATTTCCTGGGCTGGACTGAGACAAAAATGAGCTGGGCTTTAAAGTAAGATCAGTACATTAGGAGGGTGCATATTGTGTCACCATCAATGGTAAGCACTCTTCCCCAAAGCGGGCGTGTTTCCTCTATGCCCCTCCAGGGCAGCCTATGTGCAGAGCCATACTAACATACTTTTGCAGTGAGAAAAGGCCCAAAAAGAGACAACAGCGAGACAGTGCTGGGTGACGAGGTTTTGCCTGTGTGGAGAGGCTGTTTGTAATGTGCATGTGTATGTATGCATGTAGAGGGGACATTTCTGGTATTATCTAAGTGTGTGATCGTAGAGGTGTAAATTTGTGGTGTGGTGTAGTGTGTGTGTGTGTGTGTGAGCTCATAGAGGTGGCAATTTGTGGTGTATTTGTGGTGTAATACTACACCACAAACGGCCACCTCTATGAGCTCCCACACACATACTACTGTATATGTGTGTGGGAGCTCATTGAGGTGGCCATTTGTGGTGTAGTATATGTGTGTGTGAGCTCATAGAGGTGTCCACTTTTGGTGTAGTATATATGTGTGTGTGAGCTCGTAGAGGTGGCTATTTGTGGTGTAGTATGTGTGTGTGTGTGTGTGTGTGAGCTCATAGAGGTGTCCATTTTTGGTGTAGTATATGTGTGTGAGCTCATACAGGTGGCCATTTGTGGTGTAGTGTGTGTGTGTGTGTGTGAGCTCATAGAGGTGTCCATTTTTGGTGTAGTATATGTGTGTGAGCTCATAGAGGTGGCCATTTGTGGTGTAGTATATGTGTGTGAGTTCATAGAGGAGGCACTTTGTGGTGTAGTATATGTTTGAGTGTTTCGGGGGCTGTTTGCGTGTGGGGGGGGAGTGGCAGTATGTGCATTGTGAGGGGGAGAGAGAGAGTGAGAGTGTGTGTGTGTGTGTGTGTGTTGTGAGGAGATAGTGGCTAAAGTGTATATATGTGTGTGTGAGCTCGTAGAGGTGGCTATTTGTGGTGTAGTATGTGTGTGTGTGTGTGTGTGTGTGTGAGCTCATAGAGGTGTCCATTTTTGGTGTAGTATATGTGTGTGAGCTCATACAGGTGGCCATTTGTGGTGTAGTGTGTGTGTGTGTGTGTGTGTGTGAGCTCATAGAGGTGTCCATTTTTGGTGTAGTATATGTGTGTGAGCTCATAGAGGTGGCCATTTGTGGTGTAGTATATGTGTGTGAGTTCATAGAGGAGGCACTTTGTGGTGTAGTATATGTTTGAGTGTTTCGGGGGCTGTTTGCGTGTGGGGGGGGAGTGGCAGTATGTGCATTGTGAGGGGGAGAGAGAGAGTGAGAGTGTGTGTGTGTGTGTGTGTGTGTGTTGTGAGGAGATAGTGGCTAAAGTGTATATGCGTTCAATGAGTGTACTATGAACATCATCATTATCCAAGACTGTTACGCACTTAGCTGGTTTTCTAGCTCTGTTATATATATATATATTGTAGAATACACAAATCTGATGCAGTTTTTCATGTAAACGTACGTGGGATAATGGCGTGATCCACAGCTCCTTAATTCAGCTTTCCATTTGGGCTTTTTAGCCCAAATGGTATTATGTTTACCTTTACTAAATCACTAATATGCAATTCGTTTCAGTTTAAATTATCCTATATCTCATTGATATTTCCTTAGTATTGCACGCAGATGTATATTCATTAATTCATATATACCGTGTGTGATTATTACCATTATATATCAATTTCCTTAAGAGAGAAAACAAATATTTGGGAAAATATATTCTGGGTAAATAAGATACTCTGGTTTTCTTCTAAAGTAATTTAGAAAGTTAAATTTTCAGTAACAAAAATGACTATCAGTAGGTAAAAATAAATACAAATTCTCCCTGAATAGCCAAATTCTCATCACACCCCCAGCCTAAAATGTAAGTGTCCCTCTTTGGCCATGCAACACGATGATATAGGTATAGACCAGAATCTATAACAGGGTTATGAACAAAACTGTAGTGAATTAAACTGAATAATTTAGGAAAACTTGCTACTCCAAATCTGGTCTAGTTACAGCTCGGCTATTTTACAGTGAATTTTCCAATTTGGATTTAATTTGCTAAAATTCACACTTTAATAAATAACCTGGTATGTGGAAAAATGTGTTTAGTTAGTGTATTGTTGACAGGGAGGTGTTGACTTCACAAACTGATGTGGATTTTCACAGTGTCGCACAACATATTTAGTGGGAGAGGAGTCGAGAGAATTTCAGATAAATACACTTTTGCTTTTTATGTTAAACATCTACACTAATAGGGACCCACTTAAAGACCAGCCATCGGAAGAGCAGTAAACTGTTCTCTCCAATATAACAGATTCTAGCCTTTAATGTGAGCGATCCTGACTTCTGGAGACTCGATAGCAAACGTATTGTTAATAAAAATCTTTTAAAAATATAGAGAGAACTTTTGCAGAGAAATAACCAACGATAATCTGCCATGAGAAGGAATTTGGGTACATAAAATGGACTGGGCAATAATACACAATATATTTACGTATTGCTTGTTTTATTTCAAGATATTCACAAGACGTCACATATAAAGGCAGGTGTTGAAAAAGCCTGTTTATACAATAGCAGCAGGTCAGATGTGTGATATTCAGGTTAAGTGAAAAATTTTGTTCAGCAAACAGCAGAGCTGACAAAGGAGAAGTAACACTTCCCAACAAAGTTTAAGAATTGATTGCAAGTTCTGGTATGAAGTCATTCGGTATAATCAAAGCCTCTATTGCATGCAACCAAGTAGCAGCTGATAGAAACATAGAACGTGACGGCAGATAAGAACCATTCGGCCCATCTAGTCTGCCCAATTTTCTAAATACTTTCATTAGTCCCTGGCCTTATCTTATAGTTAGGATAGCCTTATGCCTATCCCACGCATGCTTAAACTCCTTTACCGTGTTAACCTCTACCACTTCAGCTGGAAGGCTATTCCATGCATCCACTACCCTCTAAGTAAAGTAATACTTTCTGATATTATTTTTAAACCTTTGTCCCTCTAATTTAAGACTATGTCCTCTTGTTGTGGTAGTTTTTCTTCTTTTAAATATAGTCTCCTCCTTTACTGTGTTAATTACCTTTATATATTTAAATGTTTCTACTCGAAGCAAAATATGGCAACTTATAAAGTGTATCAGCTTGATTAAGGGTGTCCACCGAAAGGTGGGGGTAAAGAAGAGACATCTAGTCGTTGTTAATGGGGAGTACTCGTGAGCCCGCGATTGCGGGAGGGCCTATGTGCAGGGGCATTACCAGGGAGGGTCTGACCTGGGCTGGAGACCCAAGTGGTCTCCTGAGAAATCCCCAAGTCTGATTTTAATGTGCAGGGGCATTACTAGGGAGGGTCTGACCTGGGCTGGAGACCCAAGTGGTCTCCTGAGAAATCCCTGAGTCTGATTTTAATGTGCAGGGGCATTACCAGGGAGGGTCTGACCTGGGATGGAGACCCAAGTGGTCTCCTGAGAAATCCCCAAGTCTGATTTTAATGTGCAGGGGCATTACTAGGGAGGGTCTGGCCTGGGGCCCAAGTGGTCTTCTGAGAAATCCCTGAGTCTGATTTTAATGTGCAGGGGCATTACTAGGGAGGGTCTGACCTGGGCTGGGGCCCAAGTGGTCTTCTGAGAAATCCCTGAGTCTGATTTTAATGTGCAGGGGCATTACCAGGGAGGGTCTGACCTGGGCTGGAGACCCAAGTGGTCTCCTGAGAAATCCCCAAGTCTGATTTTAATGTGCAGGGGCATTACTAGGGAGGGTCTGACCTGGGCTGGAGACCCAAGTGGTCTCCTGAGAAATCCCTGAGTCTGATTTTAATGTGCAGGGGCATTACCAGGGAGGGTCTGACCTGGGATGGAGACCCAAGTGGTCTCCTGAGAAATCCCCAAGTCTGATTTTAATGTGCAGGGGCATTACTAGGGAGGGTCTGGCCTGGGGCCCAAGTGGTCTTCTGAGAAATCCCTGAGTCTGATTTTAATGTGCAGGGGCATTACTAGGGAGGGTCTGACCTGGGCTGGGGCCCAAGTGGTCTTCTGAGAAATCCCTGAGTCTGATTTTAATGTGCAGGGGCATTACCAGGGAGGGTCTGACCTGGGCTGGGACCCAAGTGGTCTTCTGAGAAATCCCTGAGTCTGATTCTAGCACCATTTCATTGCTAGCACCAAGTTTCCTGAAATTCTGCAACTAGAATTCTTCATTCAGTCTTAAAATTACACCTAAATAACACCTTCAGTTGCAGAGTTTCCAATAATCCATTCTACTGACGTCATGAAATTCCTAATTGACCAATTGTAATTCAGATGGTTCCAAAATGTCATGATTTGACATAAAAATATCGATCAACAAACAAATATAGGGTAGAATGGGCTATAAAATTTATGTTGAGTTCACCAGTCGTATTGCATGCTAGCAACGCCTACATTATTTGAAGGGTGAGTACCACAAAGTAAGTGTCCATGGCTGCCACATTTGTCTGTAAGATTGGTAAGTTACATATGGGGGCTGGCATTATTATTTTTGCTTATGTATAGATCAGTTATGTTTCCAAGATTGTACTTGTTTTAGATTATGAAACACATTCATTTTGCACATTGGAGCTCATCCATTAATGTCTGCTCTTTTTTTTTTAATTTTTCAATGCACAATGTGAACAAAGGCACACAAACCACATTTTTGTTATTATTTATTAACCTATTCTACATTACGCCGTTCATAATCAAATTATCATAATTGGCTTTTATTTAATGCTGTTACTGAAGATGCCATATTCAAAATGAGGGACTGCACACATTTATAAAAAAAAAAAAAAAGGTAAGGGAGTGAATCCGAGGGTGCGTCACGGACTACATACATAAACAAATGTCCAGGTACACACAGGCCATTTCCCAAAAGCAGGATGTTATTGGAGCAATTACAATATTTCAGCTCACATCCAGTAGTTTAAGAAAGACTCAGGATATGAGCAAAAATAATTGCCATTGCTCCACTAAAACGTTTGGGGAAAGACCTGTGTGTGTCCTTGGACATCTGTTTTTGCATGCTACAGAATATGCAGGCACCTTGCAACTAAATGCTTATTTGCGCAATACACATATGTATTTAAAAACAACAAACAAGAAAAAGATAAAAAAAATATAGATAAAAATTTGTTCTACATTAAAGAGAAAGTTGCAGTTTTTACACATTTTAAATTAGGCACGAATTTAAACAGAAACAACTACAATGACATAAATCCGCACATATAGAAATGCACGAGGCCATCACCTTGAGCAAAGTGAGCAATTCTTGCAGATAGGTAGCGATAGGGGTCGAAGAGATGGCTTTACTACACTGGGGTCATTCGCACGTTCAGAATCTTCCTCATTGGCAATCATTTCCTTAATTAAACAGGAAACTGCTTCATGGATGTTCATATTTTCCTACAATGAAGACATGGTAGATCAGACAAAGTACGTAAACATACAAAAGATTATTCACTAAACAAGGAATTAGTGAAAAATTGACAAGGGGGTTGGAATGTCCCATTCTCTTAGTAATGTTGTAACTAAAAGGTGTAACGATATTTATTCAGCAGTTCTCATGGGAACCTATGGCGCATACTACTTACTCGAATCCCCGATATTAATATGCTAAGTAGAAAGCGAATTGATCAGAGACCCTCAGTGGTCTATATCATTGCCAAATGTCAGGACACCTGTGAGCCTCCGCATCTTTCTAAACAATATCGTTTTCTCGTGACTCTACACTTTGTTCTTACGTCATGTTTGGATAAAGTGACTCCAGGTACCAAGGACAGTTATACGCTGCGGAATAACCCCTTCTCCCACTGGAAAACAGAGCAGCAACAAACAAAAACCAAGTACCCAACAAGGAAAGGGGAGCGTACATAGTATTATATGCAGTGTATGTAATAATGTGTGTTATGTTATGTGTATGATTATGTGCAATATACATAGTCAGCCACATATATGGGATACATACATGTACATATACAGTCACACGCACTCACACACATAATTATAGTGACAAACACACATACACAGTCATACATGCCCTGTTACATTACCAGCATTATTACCATTGCAATTTTAGGGGGAGATGTTCAGCAAATGGGATGTACATATGTTTGGATTGGCCAGCAGCAATATAGAATTATAATTTTCTGTATATATCAAAATAAATATTAGGTGGAACTGTGGTGCTTGCTTCCAATTTACAAATAAATGACCCTGATTAAGGAACATGTCCTACCTTTGCAGAGGTCAGATGATCACAATTAATGAACATGTCCTACCTTTGCAGACGTCAGATGATCACAATTAATGAACATGTCCTACTTTTGCAGAGGTCAGATGATCACAATTAAGGAACATGTCCTACCTTTGCAGAGGTCAGATGACCATAATTAAGGAACATGTCCTATCTCTGCAGAGGTCAGATGATCACAATTGATGAACATGTCCTATTTTTGCATAGATCAGATGGTCACAATTAATGAACATGTCCTACCTTTGCAGAGGTCAGATGATCACAATTAAGGAACATGTCCTACCTTTGCAGAGGTCAAATGATCCTAATTAATGAGCATGTCCTACCTTTGCAGAGTTCAGGTGACCATAATTAAGGAACATGTCCTACCTTTGCAGAGGTCAGATGACCATAATTAAGGAACATGTCCTACCTTTGCAGAGGTCAGATGACAGCCACTAAACCCCATCTCTTTACTCATCTCCTCTAGATTTCGGGTGCTGCGGCCTGGAGGGAGTTGGTCGCACTTGTTCCCTAGCAGTATTAATGGGATTGGTTTTCCGCTCTGTAAAGACACTTTGGAGTCCAGATCTTCTTTCCAACGCTGAACTGATTGCACCGTGGCTTCACGTCCCACGTCACACACCACGAGAGCTCCTACCGCTTCACGGTAATACAAACGCGTCATATGGCCAAAACGCTCCTGACCTAGAGACGAGTAATATGAGATGTTAAGGAGTAACATTTGTACAAACAAAGAATGTAAGGAAACACTCCAAGGACCATAAGCACTACAGCGAGTGGTTATGGTTCAGAAGTGTCCTTGCTCCAGCAATGTAAGTATCCAAACTGTATGCTAATAGTTTGACTCCTTACTTGAGGTCTACCAGGTATTCCATTAATGCTCCTGATCTCATTGGCTAAGAAAGTTAGTTGATCGTGCTCAGCACCCCAGGAAAAAGTCAAAACGTCACTCCAAACACCATAACCACTACAGTGCAATGGTTATGGTGCTTGGAGTCTTCCTTTAAGACTGCATTGTGAATTGTACTAGGAAACTCTTCTGGTCTGGCATGGGTAAGCTGGGCCTCTAGGTGAAGCTTTTGTTGACAGGGAAGAACTACTGATATTTAGGGCAATGCAAACCCTGTATGCCCACGCCTAATATAAAACAGTTTAGCTATAAGTTAATATTACACGGACGACATTAGTATTTCAATTTTTTTTTTTTAATTACTGCTACTTTTCTACCGAGATACAAAAGTTTCTAATTTTCATCCAATGTCACAGCCAGGGGAGGGGTGACTGGGGCTGCATCAAAAGTTCTTTAACTCCTAAATAGAAGATACTGAGCAGTTAGACTGCAGGGGTATGACCTGTACATCAAAACTGCTTTATTAAGCCCAGTGGTTCTGGTGATTATGGTGTCCCTTTAAATTAAAATGGTTGTTTTTTTTCTTTCAAACACTGAACACTGCTAGAACATTTTATAACTCCCAAGTGTATAATTTTATGTCGGAATCCCTTCCCTTTGTTTTTATCCTAATGTCCCTTTTACTTGGGTACATATTTTTGTGTTTGAGTATAATTAACATGTAAATGAACAGGTTGCTGATCCAAGGAGAAATCTTATTGCCATCGTTTTAAATTGTTTGTTTTGCCTTCTTTTCAATCAAAAGAGCACACAAGGATGTGTTTTATTGGTTGAACTCGGTGGACTTGAGACTTTTTTTCCCCCCAAACGATGTAATTATTGCCACAAAATCAGTCTATCCAGTTTATTCACATAAGTGAGAATTTGAACTAAATTTCAAATTAAAGTTCAAAGTAGCCAAAACATTCTCCAAGTCAGGTATGCTTCCAATTCAGCAAGTCTGGCTTACATTTCAAATTCACATAGAATTTACTCACAATTCTCACTTTAGTAAATAATATGACAGGCAAAATCTCAGAGAAACCTCAATAACTTGCCCTTCGGTGAGACCCTGTTCAGGTATCAAAGAAAACCTATACCATTTGCATGTCAAACTGATCCTGCCCATAAGTGCAGTCCAGAACCAAAATGCCTACACGAGAGATACCACAACCCCGAACGTCTGTTTTCATATTTTTGTATAGGTTGAACTCCGAGGACTGGAGTCTTTTTTTTTTTTTTTTAACCTAGATTTCTATGTAATTATGTATGTAATATACTTGAGCACAAATGAGTTTCAGCTGCTACAAATTAATCAAATTCCTTTTAATCTGCACCCGAACAATATCGATCCATCTGGGATTTACCTCTGGAGTCTTATTCAACGAACAAAACTTTATCTTTATGGCTTAAAATGTATTTAAAAATGCATTACCTATAAATACATAAATTGGGTCATCTCCAACCTGCCTTTTAAATGGAGCTGAAATAAAAAAATGAGTGCAATAGTAATGGTTTTTTTTTTTGCAATGGATGTTGGCTGCATTGTACTCTAAATCTTTACCAAAGTCCACTCACCTGCAATATCCCAAAGCTGTAATCGGACCACCGTGTCCTCGTTCCAGTTCACAATTTTCAGGGCAAAATCTACTCCAATGGTTGCTCGGTAGCACTGGGAGAAGATGTTGTGGACATACCGCTGTATGATCGAAGTCTTGCCAACACCAAGATCGCCCACGACAAGCACTTTACACAGAAATTCTCTCTCAGGTGAACTCATCTCCCTCTTACACCTCAAGATGAACTTTCAACTTGTTTCTCCTAAACTGATGGGTAGGTACTGACTGATTACTTGAGTTCATGAGCTTGTGTAATGAGCTCGGAGTACACAAGAATTCGGCACAGATGTGAGAGATGACAACTGCTGGAATTACTCTGCAACTAAATAAATTTACTTTACATGTAAAAGTGTGCTCTCTCGATCGGCAAAGGTTTGGGGTCTGGCTTGAAGTCCGTGTTAATCATTATTTGTAAGGTGCTATGTGTCAATCCGTTTAGGAAAAATCAATGAAAAGTTCCTACTGAAAGTTTGGGGTTTGTAATTTTGCATTTTTTTGTTAAAAAATTATGAGTACAAAATCGGAGGGTTCTCATTTACCTATTGTTCATGTATCATTTTGTGTAATTGATTGTGTAATTTTCCCTCTATATAATATTGTAAAGTGCTTTGCAGAATATAAACTATATAAATACCAATAACAAAAATATGGGTATCCAACGTACGTACAAGTATAAACTCACTTGAAACTGAATTTGTTTTCTTTTTAAATACTATTTTCAGTATTTCAAGTATTATACTCTGAAGTGCAACCTTTCCCTTTGAAAAGTTCTCTGTTCTCTGCTTATCATTTTTTGTGATGTATTTCAGAATGGCCAAAGAAAGGGGATGAGCTTATCCCCAAGTTCTCAGACCAGTGCATATTGAACTTTTTTTTTTTTTTTTCACAGTGACCAAAAAGACATACATGAAATTAGTTTGGTGACCTATTCTACACTTTTACAATGATCTCTTTAACGACTTCTTCAATAACAATATAGAACAATTATAAAAAACTTCTGCAAAACAGTCTCTTTAAACTCTTCTCACTCTTCCATGTGTCTCGACTGCACTGGGGTGTCAGTAATTGCCTGGTTAAAATGACAAGCCTTGTCCCACTATTGGTGACACATTAAAATAGCACAGACATCCTTATTTGGGTTCAAACTTAGAATTGAAGTAGATCAGGGATCTCAAACTGTGCCCTTGCCCAGACATTTATGGCCTACAACTCCCAGAATTCTTTGAGTGCAACATCTGGCCTGAGAATCATAAGAATTGTAGCACAGCAACATCAGGGATGGTCAGGGTCTGAGATACCTGGTGTAGATCCATTGTGTTACTGGATAGAACACATCATCAGGTGTATTTATGTACTGACCATGTCTGCATGATGGTAATGCTGACATTACAGAAGGGCATACAATAAACTGGGTCCAAGCAATAAGGTTTTTTGCCTTAAATTTTGGACCAGAGTTAATGCATGATTTCACAAGTATCCCACTAGACCACCAGAGCAGCTAATGCAGGGTCTTTTAATATTACTTTCTTCTTCAAAGGTTTGGAACTACATACCCCTTCTGTGGCAGACCTTGTACCAATAAGACATAGGATCTAAATCAGATATAGGGCAAGGGATGGCCAATCTTAATCCTGGAGCTACTAAATGAACTATACTTCCTGGATATTCAGCCACCTTGAAGTCCATTTAAGCATGACAGCACAGGCTCAGCTAGTCTTTGCAAGGTAAGGAATATGAGAAAGGCAATCACTTGCACTACAGAATGATGGCAAGATAACACCTTGTGAAAATGATACCTCTAAACACATGACAATGTGATTGGAACCCATTCCAAAAAAAAAAAAAAAAAATTTTAGTAGATGGATTTTAATAAAAGCGGTCAGGTCATCCAAGACTAACTGGCAGTTTGGTGGTAAATAAAGTTAAAGTTTAAAAAGTTTAAGTTTGAAGGTCTTGATGGTAAGGTAAATCTTTTTGCTGATACTAAGATATGTAACAGGATTGATGTTCCAGGAGGGATAAGCCAAATGGCAAATGATTTAGGTAAACAAGAAAAATGGTCAGAATTGTGGCAACTGACATTTAATGTGGATAAGTGCAAGATAATGCATCTTGGACATAAAAACCCAAGGGCAGAGTACAGAATATTTGATAAGAGTCCTAACCTCAACATCTGAGGAAAGGGATTTAGGGGTGATTTTGGATGACTTAAAGGTAGGCAGACAATGTAATAGAGCAGCAGGAAATGCCAGCAGAATGCTTGGTTGTTTAGGGAGTGGTATTAGCAGTAGAAAGAGGGAAGTGCTCATGCCATTATACAGAACACTGGTGAGACCTCACTTGGAGTATTGTACACAGTACTGGAGACCGTATCTTCAGAAGGATATTGATACCTTAGAGAGGGTTCAGAGAAGGGCTACTAAACTGGTTCATGGATTGCAGGATAAAACTTACCAGGAAAGGTTAAAGGATCTTAACATGTATAGCTTGGAGGAAAGACGAGACAGGGGGGATATGATAGAAACATTTAAATATATAAAGGGAATCAACACAGTAAAGGAGGAGACTATATTTAAAAGAAGAAAAACTACCACAACAAGAGGACATAGTCTTAAATTAGAGGGACAAAGGTTTAAAAATAATATCAGGAAGTATTACTTTACTGAGAGGGTAGTGGATGCATGGAATAGCCTTCCAGCTGAAGTGGTAGAGGTTAACACAGTAAAGGAGTTTAAGCATGCGTGGGATAGGCATAAGGCTATCCTAACTATAAGATAAGGCTAGGGACTAATGAAAGTATTTAGAAAATTGGGCAGACTAGATGGGCCGAATGGTTCTTATCTGCCGTCACATTCTATGTTTCTATGTTATATTTTTATTGTTATGATTGTAAACCCCTGAAGCTTTGAATAAGCACCACAGCCTAGTACATTGAAAAGTAAATAAACCGTCTGTTTGCTGTGTGGTCGAAGATTATTTATACATAAAATATTGCCTACCATGCATCCAACAGGATCAAATTAAGAGTAATAAAGTGAGGTGGTGTGTGGTGTGATAAAGTGTCCTGTAATGCAAAAAATGGATCCCCTTATAAAAAGTAACATGCCATGCATATACACTGTGCTTGTCAAATTGCTAGCAAATACATGGTTTACAGTTTAATACTTTTAACTATTACTTTATTGGTCTAATTTTTAAAATTAATACATTTACTGGTGTCATCAGTACGATATAAAGAATTGATCTGTAAAATTGGACGCGGATTGACAATTTTTGCAGGAGACAGGAACACTTTAAAAGGACTACACACACACAGCAGCCATCGTTAGCGGTAAAACAAACATTTTAACATCTTTAAAACACTACAGAAATCAGCGGGAGGGTGGGGATTGGCTCCTGTGGCCCTCAATATGCCAACTTGCAATTACAATGGGGTAAAAAAAAAAATATATATATATATATATATATATATATATATAAACAAAAAAATAACGTAATGTGGACCAAGCTTCCCCACCACAAACAAAATGTGTCCTCCAACAGTGGAAGACTCCAATACAGGTAACCGTTTAATACTTAAACTCCATGAATTATTAAATCTGAAGTGTTTTTGTTATTTTCTCCAATGGTTGTTACTGTCCAAGTAAAGGTTTGTCCCATCCTTTTTATCTCTTCAAAAATAGTGGCATTCAAGTTAGGTGGGATGGAGAATGAAGAGAAAAGTTAGATTTTTATGTGAAAAAAAACAAAACAATTGTGTAATTTCCAAGTGGCAGAGGGATTTTCCGAGGGGAACCATGCAACGGGGAAAATGGTTTATGGGAGGCTCTGAGGTTGCTGCACGAGGTAGTGGTTTTCAGTCGCTAAATTCTTCATCTTCCGACCAACTCAGGCAGTCATCTGATTCTTCACCTTTATCCTGGAGAGGCTCACATGTTGGCTGTGGTTCGCACTCAGGAGAAGGTTGTGTGGAAATTGCCGACAGTTCTAGGCGCCCCCATGTCACAGGGTATGATTTCCTTAGCGTGATCTCCACTTTTGTGGGTAGCAAGTTCACAAAACTTTTGTCTACATCGATAACCTGAGGAACCATTAGAACATTTGTAAATGTAGACTATCCCCTCAAATACTGAACATAAATATTGGCAATTACATTAAAAAAAAGTTATAAAAAAAAAAAAAAAAAACCCTTAAACAACACTATGGCAACACTAACAACAGGATTATTTACTAAAGTAGGAATGAAAACTGAATTTCAAGTTCTAAACCAGATTGGCTGCATGGAAAGCATGGCAGACTAAGAAAAGGTTTTTAATTTGGCAAATTTAAACCTAAATTTGAAATTCTCCTTGATTCTTCACTTAAGTGGTTATCCCTGAAATGTAGTCTTCTGTTCATACCCTCAATGGTGTAAGGAGCGCATACTGAAAACTTCAAGGTGAATTTATAATTCAAAATAGCCAAACCGTAAAAAAAATCATAGTTGTTTATTCTTTCAGTTTAGTTATGCTGAGTGTAAACTGTATGTTCACTTTGAATTCACACTTTAGTTAATAAAATCTGATAGGGTAGTAGAGCTTCAAGCAGAGCGTGACATTTTAAAGTTACAATATTGCCGACGGATATTGCCGACGGAGGGGACTCTTTGCTGCATCTTATCTTGTGTTTATTTGTTCCTTTTTATTTTAAATGTGAAGCTTCTGTGAGGTTTTAATAAATCCGTGTCACATATTTACACAATATAAGTTCTCTATTTTCACAAGTGCAGTGTTTAATGAGACTGTAGAAGCGGTACTGCAAACCTTCTTTAGAATGAGTGAAGGATTTACACAGGGAGCTGGATACATTTTAACCATTTTACTAGATATGTTTCTGACTAATGCTTAAAGGAACACTCCCATCCATAACGATGGAAGCTTATTTACGTTATGGGGCAGGTGTGTTCGGCCATTTTTTTTTTACCATCAGGGGCTAAACCAGTTGATAACAGCTTAACCACTGAGTTAGGGCTTCGGTGCTCCTGCTTCCTAGCTTCCATCCCTCTCGGCTGTGTAGTACGAGGAAAGATGGTACTTACATCGCAGTTTGCCACTTTATAGAGTCCTTATATACGTTACTTACACCCCATAATTCCAGCTGACGCTTGAACTCGCTCTTCTCTTGGAAGGAAATCTGGATGTCAATCTTAGAAAAGATAAGTGTAATTACTACAACATTGGCATTAACGATTCTTTATAATGATTAATTCCAGAAACTCAAGCCTCTGGATACCATTACATGAACATTAAGATTGTAGCTGGGAGGTGAAGAGCCATGTCCAGAGACTACAGATTAAGACCATAAAGCCTCCCACAAAGAACCAGAAGACCCTGCTGTGGGTCAGGACACCAGGTGACAGGATAAACAATGGAAGTCAGAGAGCTACACGTGAGATTCTAGAAAACACGGTTATGATGAGGATATGCAACAGAAGCCATCTTGGAAAGTGATTTTTTACAATCTATAAAGCAGGGGTTTGTTACACTAACCTTTACTGCTGGGGTAAGCGATTTCAGGTGGTCTGTCAAATTGTTTTGATTCTTGTGTGTTTAATTCTATATTATGACCTTCCTCAAAACAGTAGTGGAGGGGGAAGTAAGAATCAACATCATCTACCTTTTGGTCACCCTTACTGAACTTGTTCTCCAAAAATCGAAGAAATGCCATTGATGCATGTTAAATTATGCAAGAAGGTTTATGAATTAATTCTAAATACCATGAATACTACAGTGTGGTGTAGTGGTTATGGTGTCAGGGGTGCCCTGGCACTCCCCACGGTAAGTGGTAAAACCATTTTGCAAGACACCACTTGGGAATGCTCCAAGCACCGTAACCACTATAGTACACCAGGAGAGTCTTGGCATCCCCCAATGTAAGTAGTCAAACCAATTTAGAAAGGTTTGACTTCATGCCTGGGGTACGCAAGGCACGACTCCGTGTCAACTCTCAGCTACCATGATAGCGTCTATTAGCTCGCCTGAGATAAGCCCGGCAGTGCAGGGCTAGCTCAGACAGAGCTTCTGGCTCTCCAGTAGGCTCTGATGGAGGCAGGGAGCAAACCCCAAGTAAGAAGTAAAATTGTTCGAAATTTTTTTTCCATGCCAGGTCCTCATTAAAGCTTTGCTCCCATCTATCACCATTCCACAAAACCATAACCCAAACAATGCAAATGTAGACCGATCCCAGACGTGCCTTCCATGCCATACATCCATACACATAATAAGGCCTACTAATACCAGTAATAGCTATTTAAACTGCAAGTCCCCGTTGTTACCGTTGTGCGATTAGCATGAACACTGCTGAGCTCGGGAAGGGCTGCTTTAGCATAAATAGTGATGACAACAAGACTACCCGTCTGGTGCCAATCATAACGACATGAGACTTCCTGGAATATAAAGGGGGAGATATGAGGTGCGGATTCATTATATGCAAATGGGGGTAAAAGGAAATATTTGTCTATATTCCTCAATGAGACTGGCAGAACATAAGGCTCGGTTAACATATACAGGTGGTTTACAGGCCTTTTAATAACTTATTCTCTTAGTATAGTGAATTGATAGACAATACGCACTGAATACTATACGGACAGCGCAAGAGAGAGACTGATAAATGTGTCATTAATTCTGTAGTAGCAATAATAAATATGGCAGTATAACCATGAGTATACAGGACATATAAAGCTCTGAGTATTTCCTGATCTTCTGATATGACTATATGGAGTTCTAAAAAAGTGAGCTCAGAACCCCCTGAGTTCCATGCAACAATAGTTTAACCCCTTAAGGACACATGACATGTCATGATTCCCTTTTATTCCAGAAGTTTGGTCACAGGGTTAAACACTGGACGTTATGTGTAAAGAACAATTCCAGCGCAATGTTCTAGAAGTGAAGCAGTCACAGTGGAAACCAGAATTCTTTATGCCGAACACCTATTTTTCTTTTAAGGAAAATGTATACACAGAAAGATTTAAGAAATTAACCCTTTAAAAATCTCTGGAAACATTTCTAACTCTCGATAAAAAAAAAAGTTCCTGTTGTCCCAATAAAATCATATTTTGGCCATAATTATTACACAGACGTTTCGGCTCATTACACCATTCTCTCCTCACCTTTTTTCCTGCTATCTGAACCCACAGATGCTTCCCTGAGCTGCACCCTTTTTGATCCAGAAATTCATTAAAGTCACTGGTTCTAATGGCACAACAGGACCAGTACTTCATGCTGAAAATAAATGGATATTATGAGCACTGTAACAGACACTGGCGTTGTGCAAGAAGCCACACATGGATTGTCACTAAAGTCGGAATTGTGGACAAGGGAGCTGCAAAGTGAAGTCCAAAAAAAATATGTAAAATGCTGTAAAAAGTCTCCAAATGGTCTACTGTAGTCTAAATTTATCTTGCAATTCTCCACAAATTGCTAATAGTCAGGGTTATTTACTAAAGTGAGAATTAAAAGTGAATTTAAAATTCAAGGCCAGAGTAGCCGAGCTGAAGGCATTGCTGACTTGACATTTTTTTTCCAGTTCATCTATTTTGACCTTAAACTTGAAATTCACTTTAAATTCTTACTTTACCCGGATAGTCACTAAGTGGGAACACGAAGATATAAAAAAATAAATAAAAAAAAAGGGGATACAATTAATGGCACTTTGTCAGAAAGGGTTAACATTGATGCTACTAGAACAGTCTGTGCTGCTTAAAAGTAGAATGCAATAGTGAATTAATATAGACACATCATGACAAATACACATACATGATTTCTATTAATGCTTTTCCCATAATGAGGTTCACCCAGTCTCCCTTTTCCTACCTTTGCTGGGGGAGACTTGGAGTGAATCATATCCTGAATCCCTGGTGTTGCGAGATATCTCTGTGCACACATTACACAGAGAGCTGAAAAGCTCCCTCTGTCTCTCTGCAATGATGCCAGGACAGGGATATCACATCCTGGCATCACTACAAGGGGTACAAGTGAGAGGTTTAAAACGGTTTTGAAACCAGTACCTCTCAATAGTAAATCTAGCGCTGATAGTGGTTTACAACTTGCTATGATAAGCAGCCACAAGATGCACATAGCGCTTTGAGGACAGTTTTCCATTTGTGTTGTAATTCATTCAGCAACCCATTTTACAATTTTAATATGATTTATATATATTTCAAAAAAAGAATAATTCGGCAAAACACCTTCAACAGACTCCTCCCAAAATAACAGAGGGGTTTCCATTGCATTTGAAGTGATGTAAATTGCTTGTTTTAACTTTGAATATATAAAGAGTGTGGATTCTCTGGACAGCTATGGGATTTAACCATCTTCACCACTTATTTTTTTATTATTAGGTTTGAGGATAGGTAGTGCGACACCTATCCCGTAAGTGATTGTAGCTATTAGCACGTATGGCGGATGTCCATATTTCTTACCCCTCATGGAAGACTGGAACTCCGGGGTGATAAACACATGTTCCTGCATCACTTTCTGGCCCTTGATATACCTGCAGAAAACAGCACCAGTAGTTTGAGCTGAACAATTCATGTGGATACGTATTAAAAACATACAAGTGTAAAATCATAAACATCAATGGAGCTCACCTCTTTACAGCCTGAATGTTTACACCTTGTTCCAACAACTGCAACATCAGTCTCGGCTGCAAAAAAGAAAATACATTATCGAATCTAATAACCAACAGCGATCACCCTACTGCCATTTGTCTACGCACTCACCTTTTTGCACAGACACCTCTTTGGCCTCCAAGCGAAGCTTCTCCAGCACCTCTTCAAGTGAGCGAGATACTTTGAACGTAAGAGGCCGCATTTGTTCCTGTGCACTGAAAATCAACACAGGCAGAATTTACAACATTCAGGTCTGCGTTAATAATTAGAAGCAAATTACAACACTGAATAAAACATTGATAAATCACATAATTTGTGTTAACCTTCGTATACGTGATGATCCATTTCTGTTTAAAATGTATATTAAGATTTAGCAAATAACATCACAATCCAGTACAGTCCTGGCACAGCCAAGGCACACATGTCACTTCAGGAGAAGAAACAAATGTTTTGTTTTTTTCCCACCTCCTCCCTTTATGCTGAGTGATAGGGGCAACAATGCAGAACTTTTGGCAATAGTTGATTGTGGATCCAAGACGGATGTGTTCAGCTACAGGACAGAGGTAAATACAGTGTCATGGATTTCCACATTTAAAATTTTCAGACGTCGAACACGTTTTTAAATATAGGGGTAGTTAATGGGAAGAGATGATCCCATTAAATCAATACGATAACACTTATTGAATGAATTAGTGCAAACGGCCTAGTATGCCACTTGAAGTGGAACTTTAGAAAAAAATTTGCTGCTGGTACTTCTCCCTAATAAATGTTCTCTATAGTGAAAACTTAGGGCACAAACATAAAGAATGAACAAAGATGAATGTAGGAAACACTGAGGGAATTAGGAGGTAGAATGTCTTCAAAAAGCAGGAGTATACTAAAGTTATGTAAACCAGAAATCTTTAGTAATAATGCAGAGAACATAAAGATCATTGTACTCTACACACAGAGTGAGTAATAATCCAGAGCTCACTGTGCTCTACACAGAGTGAGTAATAATGCAGAGCTCACTGTACTCTACACACAGAGTGAGTAATAATGCAGAGTTCACTGTACTCTACACACTGAGTAATAATGCAGAGCTCACTGTACTCTACACACTGAGTAATAATGCAGAGTTCACTGTGCTCTACACAGAGTGAGTAATAATGCAGAGCTCACTGTACTCTACCCACAGAGTGAGTAATAATGCAGAGTTCACTGTACTCTACACACTGAGTAATAATGCAGAGCTCACTGTACTCTACACACTGAGTAATAATGCAGAGTTCACTGTGCTCTACACAGAGTGAGTAATAATGCAGAGCTCACTGTACTCTACCCACAGAGTGAGTAATAATGCAGAGTTCACTGTACTCTACACACTGAGTAATAATGCAGAGCTCACTGTACTCTACACACTGAGTAATAATGCAGAGTTCACTGTGCTCTACACAGAGTGAGTAATAATGCAGAGCTCACTGTACTCTACCCACAGAGTGAGTAATAATGCAGAGTTCACTGTACTCTACACACTGAGTAATAATGCAGAGCTCACTGTACTCTACACACTGAGTAATAATGCAGAGTTCACTGTACTCTACACACTGAGTAATAATGCAGAGCTCACTGTACTCTACACACTGAGTAATAATGCAGCGCTCACTGTACTCTACACACTGAGTAATAATGCAGAGCTCACTGTACTCTACACACTGAGTAATAATGCAGAGTTCACTGTACTCTACACACTGAGTGAGTAATAATGCTCTACATACAGAGCTCACTGTACTCTACATACAGTAATAATGCAGAGCTCACTGTACTCTACAGAGCGAGTAATAATGCAGAGCTCACTGTACTCTACATACAGAGCGAGTAATAATGCAGAGCTCACTGTACTCTACATACTGAGTAATAATGCAGAGCTCACTGTACTCTACATACAGAGCGAGTAATAATGCAGAGCTCACTGTACTCTACAGAGCGAGTAATAATGCAGAGCTCACTGTACTCTACATACAGAGCGAGTAATAATGCAGAGCTCACTGTACTCTACATACTGAGTAATAATGCAGAGCTCACTGTACTCTACATACAGAGCGAGTAATAATGCAGAGCTCACTGTACTCTACAGAGCGAGTAATAATGCAGAGCTCACTGTACTCTACATACTGAGCGAGTAATAATGCAGAGTTCAGTGTACTCTACACACTGAGTAATAATCCAGAGCTTCCTGTACTCTACACAGAGTGAGTAATAATCCAGAGCTCATTGTACTCTACACACTGAGTGAGTAATAATGCAGAGCTCACTGTACTGTACACACTGAGTGAGTAATAATGCAGAGCTCACTGTACTCTACTCACTGAGTGAGTAATAATGCAGAGCTCACTGTACTGTACACACTGAGTGAGTAATAATGCAGAGCTCACTGTACTCTACACACTGAGTAATAATGCAGAGCTCACTGTACTCTACACACAGAGTGAGTAATAATGCAGAGCTCACTGTACTCTACATACTGAGTGAGTAATAATGCAGAGCTCACTGTACTCTACATATTGAGTGAGTAATAATGCAGAGTTCAGTGTACTCTACACACTGAGTAATAATCCAGAGCTCACTGTACTCTACACAGAGTGAGTAATAATGCAGAGCTCACTATACTCTACACACAGAGTGAGTAATAATGCAGAGTTCATTGTACTCTACACAGAGTGAGTAATAATGCAGAGCTCACTGTACTCTACACACTGAGTGAGTAATAATGCAGAGCTCACTGTACTCTACAGAGCGAGTAATAATGCAGAGCTCACTGTACTCTACACACTGAGTAATAATGCAGAGCTCACTGTACTCTACATACTGAGTGAGTAATAATGCAGAGCTCACTGTACTCTACACACAGTGAGTAATAATGCAGAGCTCACTGTACTCTACATACTGAGTGAGTAATAATGCAGAGCTCACTGTACTCTACATACTGAGTGAGTAATAATGCAGAGCTCACTGTACTCTACACACAGAGTGAGTAATAATGCAGAGCTCACTGTACTCTACATACTGAGTGAGTAATAATGCAGAGCTCACTGTACTCTACATACTGAGTAATAATGCAGAGCTCACTGTACTCTACATACTGAGTGAGTAATAATGCAGAGCTCACTGTACTCTACATACTGAGTGAGTAATAATGCAGAGCTCACTGTACTCTACATACTGAGTGAGTAATAATGCAGAGCTCACTGTACTCTACATACTGAGTGAGTAATAATTCAGAGCTCACTGTACTCTACACAGAGCTCACTGTACTCTACATACCCAGAGAGTAATAATTATAATAGTAGTAATAATAACTTGTGCTCACTCAGTGTATTACCAATGAGATTCTATGTGCACTAAATACTAAGTGCATATAGAAAGAAAAATCCGTCACCTTACCTGGGTCTCTCTTTCTGCATCTTTTCAGCAGATTTTGGGCCTTGCACAATTATCTCTGTACAGGAGTTTGATCCAGAGTCTGATTTGCTTTTGGTTCCAGATACTTCCGGTCTAAGAGGTTCCAATGGTTTTTCATTACTGTGAGGACCTTTGGTACAGCCCTACGATAAGAGAAAACGTGAGCAATTCCTATGGGGAGCTTCCACTGAAACTAATGGGAAGCAGTGACTGTGTACTAGAACAACTTCTGTGTTAGCGTGCTCATGCTTCTCTTATTAAGATTTACCAGAGCCACTTGTGAATGTGCCATAAACCCCCTATAGCATAGTAATGGTGCACAATTCTGCAAGAGGCTCCAATTGATTTGAAGTATGAAAGCAAGCACTGCCTTTGGGACGAGTACAAATCTTTATGTTCATTTCAAGCTCTGACAAAATAAAGGAGACTTCTTTTTTTCTGTTCTTGTTTTCAATATTTGCTAGCGTGCACTACAAACTTGGATTTTTATTCCAAGAATGTCCACGTTTTGCATACTAATAGACTGTGTGCATTGCAGGTCTCTGAAAGATTTTTTTTATTCACACTTAAAAGAGCAAATGGCCAAGTATGGCACACTGCCAACTGGGATGATAAGTGACGTGGACTAATCACACAGATCATACCACCTACACCATGCTGGCACAAGGCGGTTCCGAAGAAAGTATAAAATAGCACCATAAAATTTACCTGGATTGCTAGAAATTCTGAGAAGTCCGTTGTGCGTTTTTTACAGCAGGACCAGCCCTAGAGGAAACAAGAATAAGTCAATTCTCAAATAAACTAAATAAAAGATGAATGTGACAAGAAACAAAACAGATGCACACTGACCTTTAGGGCATCATGAAATATGGGGTACCCAGGGTGAAAGAGGCAAGCATCTGTGGGTTTAAAAAAAAAAAAAAAAAGCAAAATGTGGGTTAAAGGCATTTTAAAAAGCTGAACGTAGGGGGGGCGGGGCTTGGAGGCCATGCTGAATGGTCGTAGGTTGCATGAGCTCCTGCTTCAAATCGACTAAACAGCAATCTGTGTCACTCAAAAGGTGACCTAAAGCTACACAAATACCACCAAAAGCAAGGGGACAACGGGGTGCACAAGTTGGTACCCGACAAGCGCCGTTTCTAGTGATACGCACCCGACACCCCACCGAGGCCTACCAGCATGGCGGGCACAAGAGAGACGGCCACTCTCCTGCCGCCAACGACGGTGAGAACCTCGACCCAGAGCCCTCGTTCCCCCCCCTATGGTCCGGCGGGGGTTATCGCGGACCACCCTCTTGCAATCCCAAGCGACAAATCCGAGCCCAAACAGGGACGAAAAGGCCCAGCTAAGATGGCGGCGCGAGCACAGCGCGGGAAGAAACACTCCCCTCCCAAGCCACCCAAGCACACAACGGAGTTCTTCAACAGGCTCCGTTCATACCTGTGGGAGAAGCTTAATGCCAGGAGACGGCCATTCCGACTGGCGGTGAAAGCGCTGGCAGCGTGGATCCGCCCTGCGACTCGCCGCTGCCTGCCGTGGAACCCCCCACGGGGCTCCAGCCTGGCATCCCGACAGGCCAATACACGCACCTTTAAAATCGAGAATGGAACCCGCAAGAGTACCCGACCTGCACACCAACAGGCGATCTTGGCAACAACTATCCCGCAAAGCGCCACCCGACAGAGGAGGTCATGCAGAGCCGACAGCGATAATGATCACACTGCGGAGCCGCCCAACGGGAACATTCCAGGCCGGAGGGCTCTCCTGAAAGACGGAGCCCCATCAAGGTACCCACCTTTCCAGCCAAATCGGAACCTCATGGGGGTACCAGCTGAGCCCAACAGCCAAAGCGACAGAGCCGGAGTCGGCTAAACAGGGCGGACTGAATAAGAGACAATTTGTGCCCCTGCAAACCATGCAGCGAAATACTGCAGGTCTCCACCGCACAGACTGTCCCATATAAGTTCATACAGAATAATACTCATATAGCAATGTTATTCGTATTGGCACCTAGGCCCAGTAGGGGTCCTAACATGATGTTTAGCATAAAGTAGTAGCTAATGAAACACTCTGAACAAAATGGCCTAGCACAGTATGTTGACTGATCAGCGAATATGCAGACTAAGCCTAAATATAGTTTTAAGCATACACTTTAAAGCCGATTACGTAAGCAGAATATAACAGACTTCATGTGGTCAGACATTATTGTATAGCCGGTTGTGTTTTCTAAATTTTATTAATCTTAATGCTACAGCCTAGGCCCAACAAACGTGCGACCTAGTATAACCTGCAGTTTAAAGTTGCAGACAGTTCCTAGTACAAGCCTGTAGTACTCACTTGAATTTATACCTATGCATAGTCAATGATGTCATCAGATCAGCAAACGTGCAACATAAGCCTAATTATGGTTTTAAGCATACACTATGAAGTCGGTGACTTCAGCAGAAGGATAGAATTCATGTGGTCAGATGTTACTGTATAGCCTGTTGTGTTTTTTTTTTTTTTTCTTAATTTTATTAATCTTAATGCTATATGCATAATCTATGATGTCAACAGACCGGAAAACGTGCAGACTAAGCCTAATTATAGTATTAAGCATCCACTTTGAAGTCGATGACTTAAGCAGAATAGGATAGAATACAAGTGGTCAGACGTTTTTGTATAGCCTGTTGTTTAGACTGTATCTAATGTGCCAAGAATTGTGCAAAGTCCTGCTATAGCCTAATCTTACTTAAACTAACACTAAAAATGTGCAAGAACTAATATATACCTCACTGTACTTAATGTTTGAAAAAAGCATGAGGATTGCCTTTGGGGTACCGCATGCACGTTCTGTTACGTTTCTATGCACTACAAAAATAAAGAATAAAAAAAAAAAAAAAAATTAAAAGCTTAACGTCATTCTTCTTCCATTCAGTGCAGCTTGGCAACAGTCAGGATCCAAACAAATTGCAAGTTGTTGTATATAAACAAAATGAAAGTGTAACAGGCACTGAAAATGAAGCCGTGATAACAAATGTGTCAAACTGGTATACACACACGTGCTTTCCCCAAAACCTAAACAAAAATATAGACCAAAACAAAGATACACCAGTAAAGGAATAAACCTTTACTTTTACGATTGTATTTATATTTATTTGATCACGGTGTCCCAAGATTTATTCCTTTACTGGTATATCTTTATGTTTTGATCTATAAATTGTTGTATATGCACCCGTATCAGTGGGCTACAGTGGTTATGATGCTTGGTGTGATCCATTAAAAAAAAAAATAATCTAAACCGCAACACGTGAGTAACCGGAAAAATGGTCAACATTCTTACCTACTGAAACCCCTAGATATTTTCACTTCCTATATGTGCAAAAATACACACGCACATATGAATACACACGCACATATGAATACACACGCACATTACCAATGCTATACGATTTTGGAAAAGACATATCAAATCAAAAGCATGTTTTTCATTCAAAGCCGAATTTTATTTGCGCTAATGCTGCCGGTCACAAATATGTTGCCGCCATTTTAGTAGGACAGACTGATCCTATTCTGCTAATTTCTCCCACTTTTTTCCCCTCATTTTATCCTCTTCTTCCACCTCCTAAATAACCATTCCCACTTTTAATTTTTTTAAATTTTTTTTTATAATGTTTGCTACACCATTTAGTTTGCAAGAATTATTGTTGCGTCTTTAGTTAATAAAGGTTTGAAGTGTCTAAAAAGCTACTGAGTTATGGAAAATAAACGCTATAAAGTACTTATAGTCCAATATTAAAAAGTAGTAAACAATGCAAGACTTCTCGTTTTATATATATATATATATATATACATATACACACACACACACATTACACATGCACACAATCTATTTACTTTTAGTGATTATGTAACTAAATGCACCAATAGATCATTTAAAGGGATACTAGCAGTCTCACTGCTAGATTATCTGCCATCTAAGAGTTAAATCATCTTTCTTTCCATTTATGCAGCCCTAGCCACACCTCCACTGGCTGTGACTCTCACAGTCTGCATGAAATAATATGGTTTAATTTTAAGATATTAACTTGCTTTAGAAGTTTTTATCCCCTGCTCTTTAAATTTTATCAAATACAGGAGCTTCCTGCTGGGTCTAGAATGCTATTAACAGAGCAGGAGATAATAAATTCTCAATTAAACAGAAAGCGCAGTAAAGGACATTTTAACATTAACTCTCTCGCGGGGAGACCTAAAGCGCATAAGCGGCAATGGCCGCACTCGCATTAGTAGATCCACCATAGCATGTATAATGCTTTCCTATTGGGTTCTACATGACGCTGGGTGTCCTCATGCCAAGCGTGATAATGTCCAGCATCAGTTAGTCGACCAAAAGACGCCCAACGACTTGGCTGTCACTAGAGGTGGAGTTAACCCTTAAAGGCAATTACTGCAGTTTGAGCTAAAGTGGTCTGGGTGACTATAATGTCCCTTTAAGAAAGGCTGTACAAGTCCCATGCAGGGAGGTATGACTAGAGCAGTATAAACAAAGTGATTTAACTCCTGTATGGCAGAGAATTTAACCATGAGATTGCAGAGCTATGAACTATGCACCAAACTTGCTTCATTATGCTAAAGTTGTTTTAGTGCCTTTAACTAAATGGAGCAATAGATCATTTAACTAGAGGTAGTATTAGATTGCTTTTTACCTGCACTGTTGTCTTTGAGAAGGAATGTCTGCCCGCATCCTTTGTTATAACACATCACAGCCGCATCAGACGGACTCTGAATGTCATTTAACCCAATGGCCTGGGAACTCATGATAAACAACTAAATGAAAGAAAAAAAAAAAAAATCTTTAAACCATGATAATTTGCTTGGAGTAAGTATGCAATACCAAGAGCGTATTACTTGGAGAGAAAATTGGAAAGGAAACATAAATTGGCATAATAGGAGTTGCAATGTAAGCAGTAAGCTGGGCAGAGGATACAATTCAAAATAAATCTTTAATTACTACACTGTGTTTAAGCTAAATTAAGTGCAAGGTGAGCCTATTTCACCTTTCGATTCTGAAAAAGATACAATATTGGGTGCACGGATTCAATACTTACCTGCAGAATATACTTCTAGTAACAACCTAATATGTAGATTAGTGTTACTGAATTTAATGTAACATTCTCACGTCTGAGATTTTCAGAAAGAGACTCTCTATTGTATTGAAATGTCACAAATCCCAAAATGATTTAAAAACATACATAAGACAAAAAAAAAAAAGACTACTTTACTTACGTAAAATACCGAAGCTTTGATGACTGTTCCATCTGACATACCTTGGCAATACAAATCGGATTTTCCAAGTGACAATTATAGTAACTTACTGTACATATAAGAGAAGAGCTGTGGGGGGATCGCAGTCTCACGGGATCCCCACAGGCCTCTCTATTTTGTACTTTGACATGTGCAAGAGTACATTAGTATCTGGCTACTGTTCGCATACAGCTACAGAAAAAAATATATTGCAGAACTGAAAAATTTAATTTTAAACACATATACCCTCTTACCCCCAAGATATCCCTATGAAGAGGACAAGTCACCACCTTCCACAAAGAACAGTGTCACTTTAATCTCCACAGACGGGGAATAGGCTTGTTAGTATATAGGACAATCACAAGCAAGGCAAGGTAGAAAGAGAAGAAACACGGACAAAAAATATATATATATTCTTACAAGTAATCACTCTGCAAGAAATATATGGTAACACTTAGAATTTATTCAGGCTCGTAAGACCCCCCACACGGGGATCTTTATCAAGTCTAAGGTCAGATGGGTTCAAACAACATTATACAAAATACAAATGAATTAGAAGTGAAAGAGGAGAAACACATCACTAACTTTCAGTATAAAAACCAAAAGTGGGTCAATCAATGCTACAGTAATACAGTACAAACTATTTCAGACATAAAATGCAGAAAGCAGACATTATAAGGAAAGGGAGAGCGAAACCAGCGTTAAAGTACAGACGAGCAGAAAGTGGAGTAAACAGTTTAACAAAATGAGAGAAGAAGCAGGGATAAGTAAGACAAGACGTACACTGATACCGTATGAAGTTATGGAGCACTGGAATACAGAGCGATGGAGCACATGAGACTGATAGAACAGCAGCGTGCAAGGCCTTGCATGTGGCTATCTTTAGAGTCAGGGGTGTCTGCCCAGCACCAAAGATGGAAAGAAGAATGTCAGCAGCTGTGACAGACAAGAGGAAAGAAGGCAAGATCACTGGGGAAAAGAAAAAAAAAACAGAAAAAGAAAAACAGTAATACGGAATGTTGGAAGAAAACAACGAGAATGGAGAAATATAAAAAGGAATGGGACATGAATATGTGTCAGCAAAACAGACGTGAGAGAGACTGCTATAATGACAGGCACTGCTCAGAATGTAGGCTACAAAATAAACACAAAGCAAATGAAACAGTTTGAAGAAATAGATCGTAAAATGAGAGGAATTCCAGAGAAGGAGAAGAACAGCAAAGCAGGGGAGGAAAATGGTAAAAGTGAACAAAAATTAGGATGATTTTAGAAAGCCCTCGAAACACAGAGACGGATCCTTTGGCACTCCAGCCCAATCAGATGCAGCAAGCGGATCCAAAAATATTTTATTCTATTAAAACCATGAGTCAGCTGAATAGGGAAAAGCATGTCATTCGGAGAGAGGAACGAAATCAGAAGTAATTTAGAAGCAAATATGCTGAGAAGGGGGAGGATGAGCTGAGAGAATGTAGGATGACTGAGGAAGCAAAGAGCTTTACATGGAAATATGGAAAGAACGTGGAGAAGGGAGACTTGAAAAACTAGCCTAAAACTGTAAGGCTGAGATTGTGCGCAGGGATTCCGGAGGCACAATAAAAGGGAATCTGGAATTAGACGAGGGGGTACAGGAACAGTCCCAAGGATCTCAGTTACAGCTATGTGAGTAAGATGTCAGGTTCCTCTTCGTCATCTCGTAGGCAAGGAACAAGGCAGCATTGGACGGGAAAGCTCGGACCACGGTGGGCATCAGCCCAGCGTATAGAGTGAATAATCCTGCGGACACAGAGGAAATCTGAGGGTTAAGATGCATACCCTATATACACATAAGCAAACCTTAAAAACACTGGAACCATTTATGGAGCACTTCAAATTACTGAAACTGTTACGGTGTAAAGTCCCTGCACTTTTTATTTTTATTTTATAAAAACAAAAAACGCAACACAATTTTTTCCTGTGTGTGGCCACCTCCCTGAGCAGACAATCAGGTAGCAGTGTACTCTCTGTCTGGCAATATCAGCTTTGTGTGTATGCCAACACCAAATGCTGTGGAAAGGTTTCACATCTTCTGTCAAATAGCCAGCAGTCCTAACAGTGGTTAAGAGTATGATAAGATAAGAGTATGTACCATGGAAAATGTTCTCTGCTCCTATTGGAGCATCACTCCTATCATGCTCCGTGAGATTCTGGTTGAGGATGGGGAGGTTAAAGGGGCACTATAGTCACCTGAACAACTTCAGCTTAATGGGGTTGTTCAGGTGAGTACAATAGCTCCCTGCAGGCCTTTTCATGAGAACACCATTTTTTAGAGAAAATACAGTGTTTAACTTAGAACCTAGGAACATATCCAGTGGCAGTCACTCAGAAGGCCACCAGATGGACTTCCAAGTTAAGTCCTGTCTGCTGCACAGGACTCATGTTTGACATCTTCAGACTTAGCTGAAGACATCAAACATGCTATCAGGACACAGGAGGCAACGTGAAAGTGCCTCCCGTGTCCTGTAGTAACCCCGGATGCTGTCAGCAGCCAGAGCTGACAGTGTGGGAGATAAGATCTCCTGCACACACAGCATCGGCACTGGCTGACAGGCTGAAGGCAGGAGACACAGCAGGAGGATCCAAACCGTAAGTAAACTTATTTTAAAAAGGAGTGTGAGTGAGTGAGCGAGCGTGCGAAAGAGAGAGTGCCAGAGAGAGTGAGAGATGGTGGTTAGATGCAGAGATAGATAGAGTCAGCTAGATAGAGTCAGATACAGATAGAAATAAAGATGGATATAGACAGACAGACATAGATAAATATACATATTTAGATACAGTAAAATGGATACAGATAGATTTATTAGTATTATTAGACATATATAGAAATAGAGAGATTGATAAAGAGAGATATAGATAGATGGAAATAGATAGGTACAGATAGAAATAGATATATAGAAATAGATATATAGATAGAATACAGATCGATAGAGAGATAGATAGAGATAGATAGTGTGTGTATGTTTACAATATTTATTTACAATTTGTGTTTTTATACAAATACTATATATGGAGATATCTCTATATATAGTGTTTGTATACAAACTTTTGGCTTTGGAGGGTTGCGGTAGGAGGGGGGCGGGCCTAGATAGCGAGCTGTCAGTCAGCTCAGCTTGCGAATGCACATACCAGTCAATGCCGCTCTATGAAGAACCCGATTAGTGCAGCGTGAAGCCGCGCATGCGCACCAGACAGCTGTGACTCTTCTCTAAGAGAAGCGTCTGATTGAACCCTGCTATTTCGATTTTGAGGAAAATAAGGGCGTGGCCTGTGGAGGAGCTCGGTGCTGGGACGGCGGTAAATTTTTATTTTTAAAAAGGATTTAACTTTCTTAGATGTTTCTTCATATGCATTCTCAAACGTACCTTATCCTTGCTACTGCTATCCTCGGACAGACAGGTTGTTAACTCCTCTTGGCAAATACAGCTACACCGCACACATAACCTGGTAATACCTGCATTACCCTGCTAGACGTAACGAAACGGTTTACCTCCCCAGGGAACACACAGTTCGCCGCCTTAAGCTTCAGAAAAACCGATACCATCACCCATAGCAATACCCCAACAAACATATTGAATAGAGTTAGCATCAATGGCTAGCTAGGCATGAAACACACAATAAGTTTGATCGCTATAAATTTCATGCATCTCACACACTAGGCTATACAAGATTATCTTTGATTTAAGCCGAGATCAGAATATTACAGTAACAGCCAATATGCATTATTAAGAGAATTTTAACTGGCATGACAAGTTATCACCTAACCTTGTTGTCCACCCTGTACCACATTATGCAAAGACATTTATGTTTATCCTGATAACAAAAGAAATGTGCAATGCCTTCAATGCCATAATATTGTTCTTACGTGTGTAGCGTTCAGTTTGCTCCTGTTGTTGTGGCAAAGCAAACCCATCTGTTAATCATATGCACAAATAAAATAAAGAATTATAAAAAGGATTTAAAATTTGTGATTTTTTTTTTTTTAAGGGTAAATGAAAATAAAAGCAAGAAAGAAGGCTAGGACCCAGGGCCGGCGCGTCCATAAGGCGGCACAGGCGGCCGCCTTAGGGCGCAACGGCTCTGGGGGCGCAAAATTCCAGTGACCGGCAGGAGGGAAGTGCTCCCTCCTGCCAGGTCACATCCTGGATCCCCGGCGCGGCGTGCAGCTGCATTGGATGCCGAGGGAGCTCTGATCTCTCTGATGTACTCCCTCGCAGGCTGTTTACTGATGACGTCATATTCCGGCTCCCGCGGCATCAGTAAACAGCCTGCGAGGGAGCAGATCAGAGAGATCAGAGCTCCCTCGCCACCATCCAATTCAGCCGCATGCCTCCCAGCAGCCCTACTGGATCACCAATGAGAGACCCACGCCAGCTCTCCAGGTAGGGAGGCTGGGTGGGAAATTTAAATGTAATTTAGATTATTAATTACTGTGTGTGTGTGTACATGTGAGTATGTGTGTCTGTCAGTGTGTGAGTGTGTCTGTCAGTGTGTGTGAGTGTGTGTGTGAGTGAGTGTGTCTGTCAGTGTGTGTGTGAGAATGTGTGTCAGTGTGTGTGTGCATGTGAGTATGTGTGTTTGTCAGCGTGTGAGTGAGTGAGTGTGTCTGTCAGTGTGTGTGAGTGTGTGTGTGAGTGTGTCTGTCAGTGTGTGTGTGTGTATGTGAGTATGTGTGTCTGTGCATGTGAGTATGTGTGTCTGTGCATGTGAGTATGTGTGTCTGTCAGTGTGTGTGTGAGTATGTGTGTCTGTCAGTGTGTGTGTGCGTGTGAGTATGTGTGTCTGTCAGTGTGTGTGTGTGTGTGAGAGTATGTGTGTCTGTCAGTGTGTGTGTGTGTGAGAGTATTTGTGTCTGTCAGTGTGTGTGTGAGTATGTGTGTCTGTCAGTGTGTGTGAGTGAGTGTGTCTGTCAGTGTGTGTGAGTGAGTGTGTCTGTCAGTATGTGCATGTGTGCACGTGTGTCTGTCAGTGTCTGTGAGTTTGTGTGTGTGTGTGTGTGTGTGTCAGTGTGTGTTTTTCAATGAGTCTGTCAGTGTTTGTGTGTCTGTCAGTGTGCGTGTGAGTGTCTGTCAATGAATGAGTGTGTCAGATAAGTGAGTCTGGCTGTCAGAGATGTCTGTGTGTTTGTCACTGAGTGTGTGTGACTGTCAGTGTTTATACACCCCTGACTGTAGCGTGGCCAAGCGGAGTGTACCGTGGTACAGGAACTTCTGTTTCCTGTACCTGGCAGAACTTACAGGAAAAGCTCACTGTACCGGGATTCGCTCCGCTCAGCCACGTTACAAAAAAGGTAGGAGGCACACCAGGAAGGGGAGGGGACCACTATGGGGTGGGTGGCGCACCAAGGGACAGGGAGAGGAGGGGAGAGATACCCTAAGGTACAGGAAAAGGAGGGAGGGGGGGAGAGGAACACTAAGCGACAGCCAACAGATGGGGGAGGGGAGAGGAACACTAAGGGACAGGGAAAGGAGGCGGGAAGGGAAAGGAACAATAAGGGTCAGAGAAGGGAGGGGACCATTAAGGGATGGGGAGAGGGGCTGGATGTGAAAGAAACACACAGCGGGGCTTGAGAAGGAAAGAGACACACACAAAGGAGCTGGGAAGAATAAAAGACACAAATGGGCTGGGAGAAAAGGAGTCACACAAAGGGGCTGGGAGGAGTAAGACACAAAATGTGGGAGGATGTAAGAGTCATACAAAGAGGAGAGATAGGAGACACACAAAGGCAAAAATAGGAGATAAAATACACTAAAGGGAGTCAGATATTTAAAAGACGGTATAATAAACACAAAAGGGAGGTTAAGAGGCACATGGGTGAAGATGTTTTTGGGGGGGCGGAAAAATGCATCTTCGCCTATGTACCCAAAATTCTTTGCACCGGCCCTGCTAGGACCGGTCTTTCTTGCTTTTATATTTTGACTATAGTGCTCCTTTAAAATAAAAATAAGGCATATTGAGGTAAACACTTGCTAAACACCTTATGAGGAATACAACTCCAATCGACCTAATCCAGCAGTTGGCTGAGCCTGACAAGAAGGTTTAGCTGCACCAACTTTATATATAAAATAATAATTTTAAAGGAACACTCAACTGATTTTTTTTTAAATCTAATAAGTAGATAAACCCCAGAGCAAACATGAATATATATGAAAAAAACGGATTGCAAAAGTTGCACACCTGTTGTCTGCTGCCTTTGCAGGCCCTCTAACCACAGCACAGATTTTGTGTCTTTGCCAGGGAATTGGTCAGTTAAAGGCTGCTCACTGAGAAGCCTCTGAGCGGGAGTCATGGGCAGACACATAATTGCAGCATTCCAATGCTTTTCAATGAGCTGTAGTACAGCTCACTGATAAGGGGGTGTAGGCAACCACACTCTAACCCAGTGTACCACCCACTTCTGTTATTTCTGTGAAGCTAAAGGAAGAGGGGAAAAAACCTCCCCGGCTGTCTGAGCGCCAGATGGAGAGGTGTTTCAATACACAGTTAATGAAAATTTCTATTGAAATCCTCATTTTTATAAAAACTGTTGAAATTAATGACAGCCAGACGCAAGCTGCAGTGCGGTGTGTGTCTCCAGTATTCCTTTAAAGTTAGGTTTTCAAGGAATACTGCAGAAAGTAAGAAGGCGCTTGGGGTCTCCGAACACCATAACCACTTAAATGGCATTTGGTGGTTTTGGTGCCAGAGTTTTTATTTAACTTTAACTGCTCTAATAAAAGACTACAAAAAATAAGACAAAACAGCTTCAGAATATGTCTATATTAACAACTGAGTGACAAAGGAGAGCAGGAACCCCCTCCTAAAGTCACACCTCCTCTGGCTGTGACTTACAAATCCTCTATGAAGTAAAGGTTTCATTTTCAATCAGATCTCATAGCACTGTGTGTTTTCTTGGGATGTTCCGGTCTCTAGTACTGGTAATTGAATATTAATTACACACACAGAAGACTGCTGCAGAACAAGAGACAAGAAGTACTACATTCGTAGCGTACTGTGAGGGAAGTTTAACATTTAATCTAATAAAAATATATTTATTTCCTTATTCTAAATGCATTAAAAACCAATTCATCACATAAAACAAACGGTAATGGCTTAAAAGGGTTACTCCAACCACCATGGCCTATACGGCTTTTTGAAGTTGTCATGGTGGAAGGTTTCTGCACATTCAATATTTCAGCTTGAAATCTTGCACAGAGTTATTGGCAATTATGTGCCAGGGCCAGTGGCACCCCAGCACATGTGTCTTAAGCAGCCCAGAACTCTATTCCCGACTGCCTAATGTAAATTCTGTGCCTATTTTACATCTGTCATAGATGCGTGCTACAGATGTAACTGCTTCTCACAGCCTGCAAAGGGAAGCTAATGTCTCCTCCTCCTATCATAATGAAAGCAGCCCTCCCTCCTCCCTATCCAGTTCGCCAATATATTTTTTCTCTGTGAGAATCTTTTAATGGAGCTTTTCCCGTAACTGGATAAAGATAAGTAATAACTGTTTTAAAATGTGCTCTTTCTTTTAGGGGACCTAAATAATAATGCCAATAGGGTTTTATTTTAATCAATACAAAAAAAAAAAGTGTTGGAGAAACCCTATAGTGTTAGACTACATGTTTAGGTCCCTGGTCCCCCTCAGATTGAAGCTAAAAAGTATTCTTTACTAACCTCCTCCAACGCCTCGCTGGTCTCTCTGTGGCTGGCTCCGGCTTCATGGCAGATATCAACCTTGACTATCTCAGCCAAACCAATGCTTTACCATAGGAGAGCATTGGGAGGCTATTGCACATTTATGGCAAAATGCTGCATTGAGCCAATCAGCATCTCCTTATAGAGATGCATGGAATCAACGCATCTCTATAAAGAGCGTTGGGCATCTGCATGCAGAGCGTGGAGACGATGAAAGTAAGTGCTCAACACAGTTAAGCAACGACACAGGAAGCATCTCTAGCGGCAGTATGAATGACTGCCACTAGAGGTGTTACTAGGCAGAAATTTAAACATTGCCTTTTCTCTGAAAAGGCAGCATTTCCCCTGCTCAGCCTGCATGGACAAGGTATAGACATCAGAACCATTACATTAAGTGGTAGTGGTTCTGGTGACTATAGTGTCCCTTTAGAAACTCACATATAAAACTGTAGAAGAGTCCAACGCGATAAGTAAATCTTTTATATAAGGATCTGTGTACTTCTAATCCATCTTTGGAAGTCTTTAAGCCATTACTATTGCTTATGAGAGTAATAGTTTTTAATTTGTTTGCAATAAAGGAAATGCATTTTTTAATTTATAGGCACCATTATCTTTTTGATAATGGGACACAATATCTTCATTCTTTTGTTTATTGGGGGAAATTCACAGATGGACCCCCTTGAGAAGTGGATGTTTAACTGCTTGCAGTAGATTAGAGCGACAAACACTGTACCACAGAGTAAAGGACCGTTTAGTCATCATCCACATTGAAACATTTTTGCTTAAGCTCTTATACAAGTATGACATTTAGACTAATTTTCAGGAAGTATGAAGAGAAGCTGTGTGAGTGACGGCCAGAGGAGGTGTGGCTAGGGCTGCAAAAAGTGATTTCACTCCTAATGGCGGAGAATTAAGTAGTGACATTTTCCCAATTACTAGTGGATTCTCACCTTCAGTCCTGAAAATATGCAGCAAAGACAGGATGAAGCCCGCTGAGTGTTTGCCTGGGGACAGAACTTGAATCCTTGATTTTACAGAATCTACTGGATATACTGCAAGCCAGAAACAGGCTCCTCCTACACCGCCACTTACTGTGACCATCAGCGCACCTGAAAAATAAAATGAATAAAGACTTTTACTCACACGTTGGAGGGGCAGTATGTACTCTAACATTTCATTAATCCATCGCACTCACCCGGAGGCTCTCTGCTGTTTCTGTTAAGGATAGTATTACTCAGCTCGTAACCACCAAAAAAGAAGAAATATCCTGGAATCTCTCGTAACCACGTGCTGCTGAGACCGCGAAAGAGGCCAGGCACGCCCTCCGTGTTTATGATAGAGTGGACAACGGACCATGGTGTGCTGAGAGAGTAACAGTGTGCAAATAGCGTAAGTCAAGGACCCGGCATTACAAACCATTTAATTTCTTTTATTATCAAGCCTCTTGATAAACACCCAGTTTGTGAGCCTTTGCTCCTAAATAAAGTTTGGTTTTGTACACTAGTGTGTGCGTCCAGGCAGTTTCTACAAATCTGTTTCAAAAGTGTGGCAGTTAACGCAATAATTTGTAAATTGCTTAGACATTGTTTAAAATTCCTATCAAGAGTGGAAAATATAAAATAGATTAACTAATAGATAGTTTAAAAGGAGTCACTTAAAAAACTTAAAACAGTGGAAATTAAAAGAGCAATACAGTAATGTAATCACTTCACCCCAATAACTTCCTCTCCGTGACGTTTCTTTCAGCGGCAGGAGTGACTGGGCACCATCTCATTTTTGGGGTCAATCTGTTTTTGAAAGGTTTAACTCCAACGTTGATCCACCTATAAGCTGGTAACTCTGTCTTCTCTTTTCCTTTCTTTGGCCCAGGTGCCTGATAGCTGTACCCACTCTGTTCAATTTTAATCCCTTATAGTATGTAGTATTACTCACAATGGGCATCCAGTGATAGGCAGAGAGAGTGTTGGCAGACACTCTCCGCCTTTCACTGACCCACCAACCCACTAATTTCAATAGCCATTGCAGTTTCACCGCTCAATTCTCTGCCATTTACGAGTTAAATCACTTTGTTTATGTAGCCCTAGTCACACCTTCCTCCATCCTAAACAATTCCTGAAGAGGGACCTATAGATTGTGAGTTCCTTTACTGCACAGTATGTTCAGTCTACAGTTTCTTATCTCCTTCTCTGCTAGGAGCCTCCTGTATATAATTAAAGTTCAATTTATAGAGCAGGAGAACAAAAACATATAAAGCAGGTTTACATCTGAATGAAAATGAAACCATTTTTTCCCAGTTGGATGTGTGAATGACATGGGAGGTGTGACTAGGGATGCATACACAGATGCCAAAGCAATTCAATGCCTAAATGGCAAAGAATTGAGCAGTGAGACTGCAGGGGCATGATCTATACACTCAAACTGCTTCAGTATGCTAAAGTTGTTTTGGTGACTATAGTGTCCCTTAATTATTACTTGGCACAACGTGTCCCTACTTCAAACACAATGCCACTAAAAATGTGAGTGAATTCAGAGAGGATTCCTAAATATTCCAGTAATACAGGTTCTTAGGGTTACACAAACTCTATTAAATGCATTTTTATAGCCTAATTAATAACGTCCTATTGGGAATTATTATTTAAATTCCTCCCCTTCCCAATCGCTAGAAAATACTTTAAAGTTACGTTTTCTTACCTGGAATCCAAAGCTAAGTAATGCTCTCGTTGCGGCTTTCCACGTCCCCTCATGACGTCAGCCGCGCAAGATTTAAACACAGGCTTCTCTTATAGAAGCCTGTGAATGATACCTAACTGTCTCTGAGAACAACAAGCTGAAGGAGGGAGACAGAGAGGGAAGGAGGAGGGAAATATTAAAAAACAACTGCGCCAATAGGACTTTGAGAAGCGCAACAGATCCATTGGCAGCGTGCTTTGACATTTAAAAGGCAGGAACAGAGTTCTGGGTTGCTAAAGCCATGATTGCTGGAAATGCAACCATCCCCACTGCAAACACAGAGCACCTCCTACCACCAAGACCACTACTTTAAATCACTGAAGTGTTTCCTAGTGGTTGAAGTTTAACGTTTTTAATACTTTGAGAGTTAGTCCAAACATTGTAACTTCCACAGTCCTCTGTAGCAGTTATGATGGTAGGAGTTCATTTGTTTCTTCGTCATTGCTGGTCACTGAAGTCCATGAGGAAGTCCTATATACGGACGAAACGCGTAGGACCCCTAGTGGTGACAGTGAGAATACATCTATTGTTTTATACCTTGATGTAAGTTATTACATTTATTTTATTCTACTTTTGAATGTGCACTACAATTTTGTTATAATTTTTTTCTTGAGCACACACCTTTCAACCATTTCATGGGATATTGAATAGAGATGGAAGAATTGAATTTGAAAGGGCATATATGCTGAAAAAGAAAACCATTCTAAAGGCATTCTAATTTCTACAAGAGTGTGAGTGGCCATTTGTGAATTTGACATCTGGTTTACTTATATATACATTATTATGCTATGTACTGTTCTTGTCATTTGATTTAGCAGATTGTCCCCCTTTTTTGTGTATGTACTATTGAAGACAAGAGGAAGGTCTTTGGGGAACCCCACCCGGCCAGGGTGGATTTTTTCTGCTTATTGCTAATTGAGCACCTTTTGCATTGTGGTTTGTGTACACATATACTGCTTTTTTTGTATGATGGTAGAGTACCCTGGCAACAGCTTGCCCTCCTTCTTGGGTTCCTATCGGGCGCCTGGTCTCCTCTCAAACAGATTTAAGACACCTGGCTGATCTGGATGCTCATTCATTGGCTGAGAGCGGCAGCGGATTGCTCTCCGCCAATGAATAAGCGTCGATGCGCAGAATATTTACAGATGGACATTAGCCAGCCTGGAATTCTTGTTTTGGACTAGCTGTGTCTAACTGTATTGAGTTACATCTCCAACAGCAAACGGGTTAAACTCCGTACGTTATGCTGCACAGACTAAGTACCATGACCACTTCAGTCATTTCAAGTGGTCAGGGTGCCCGGAGACGCCATTTAACAAAAAGCCACACAATAGCCACAGAAATATGAAGCAACAATAAAGAAAAATACAAACTGAGGCACACACACAAACAAAAAATAAAATAAAAATCAAAAGCCACACAATGCAAAGCAGTGACAAATCAATGTACCAAAGATCTCCTCTACATCACTGCTTAACGTGTCATGTGAAAGGCTGAGCTGTTCCAGTCACAATGCTCTATTCATTTCCCCTGGCACAGAAAAAACATTTCTCTAATCCTTATTTTTCTTCTCCCCCACCACTCGGACATTATTTCTGTTTGATAAAAGACCATCTAACACTGGGGCTTTCTGCTAGGCCCCTCACTCTCTTCATTAATTTCTTCCACTAAAAACGGATGTGTGTTTACATCTACACACTTGCTAATGGATATGCGCAGTGTCTCTATAGGAATAAATCGGGGTCTCCTTGGACGGTTCAATACAGCTTCAATTCATCATATAAGTAATGCTTCTCCTATGGATTTAGGTGGAAGGTCAGATATCGCCATCACATTGCAGTTTGAAGGGACATTACCAGGGGTTATACTAGGCAGCAAAAAGGCCAAGGACCTTAGCTTAAGAGTAATTTACAAAATCCCACCCCGTGTTCCACACCGATATGTTTTATGAATATTATGACACCAGATGTTTGAACTAATTCATTGTATTACATGAACCTTTAGTTGTAAAACAATACTGCATTGACTCACACCCCAAGCTATATTAAAGGGATACTGTAGTGCCAGGAATACAAAGCTGTATTCCTGGAACCACCGATCCCTCTGCCTCCCCCCCCCTCGTAAATAAAGGGTTAAAAATTAATTTACATACCTTATCCCAGTGCGGACGTCCCTTCGGCGCTGGGTCGAAGCTCCGCCCCCTCCTGTCCCGCGACGAGCAGCGTCTAATGCACAGGCGCGGCAAATGCTGCAAGCGCATTAGAGCTCCCCATAGAAAAGCATTGAATCAGAGCTTTCCTATGGGGAAAATCTGACGCTGGAGGTACTCATGCAGAGAGTGAGGATGTCCAACGTCAGATAACAGAGCAAAAGTCTGTTACGATTCCAGAAGCGCCGCCAGTGGCTGTCTGATAAACAGCCACTGAGGGCAGACTTCGTTCTCTGGAACTGCAATGTTTACATTGCAGCACTAGGTGCAAAAGGAACACAGCACCCAGACCACTTCAATGAGCTGAAGTGGTCTGGGTGCCTACAGTGTCCCTTTAAATTTGCCCTTGCTGCGTTCAACACAAACCAACATCGTTAGATTGTAAGCTTGTTAAGGCACAGCTCTCTTCATCTTCACCCTGTATGTCATACATTTTTATGTCAGAATGAAATGTTTGTCTTGTTTACATATTGTACAGAATATGTTAGTGCAATATAAATCATTCTAATTAAACCCGCACGCACAGCAACGCTCCCACACTCCAGCTTATAATTAATCACATGTTTATTAAAGAGGCACTGGCACATGTAACTGAAGGTGTTATTTTCCCTCCATATTACACTAGGCTTGTAGCAGACAAGAAAGGGTAACAAACAGACCCAAGATTCTTTACCTCCCCACTCCGGGCTCCTGCCTGACTCAGCCTTTAACCTAGAAATAGAAACACCCCTGGTCGCCCCCTAAATAAGTTCAGTGCTCAGTGCGAGAGAGAAGGGAGCCGAGGTATCTTTTTATTTGAATAAATATTTCTCTATTTAATACATCATCAAAAAATGGTGCTGAAATCTACCCTTGAGAGTGACTTTAATAAAAAAGTTTATCAGAAGAGCACATTGTAACATTAGAAGACATTACATAAAGCAACAGAGTATCCGTTAAAGTGAATCAAATAGGTATTTAGTTAGCAATGCCTCATATGAAATATGGGCACTTTTCAGATTTGTTTATACATTTCTTTGTTTTATCACATTTTAATTTATGCAAAATAAAAGGATTACCTCAGTCAAAGGTATGAAGCATTTGCAAACTCTGAAAGCACTATTATTTGTACTCAAAAAACAGAATCCGTTTTTATCAGTTAGTTATGTACCCATTTGGAAACAGTGCCTCCTTGTGGTAAGAGAAAATATGGCTTAGAAGAAAAAAAAAAAAATAAAGTCAAAGATAGAGTGCAGGTAACTTTTTGGTTTTTGTGCTATATATTCATTTAGTCCACTAGAGGTCAGTGGCCTAGCACCAGTGAAAATATGAGCCCAGCAAATTGTTTGCAAGAAAAAAATAGATATTATATGCTTATGAATTATTCACAAGAAACATTACTGATGGTAAATAAAAGATTTCAATGACCTTACCAAACACGACCATTAAAGGACCACTCTAGGCACCCAGACCACTTCAGCTTAATGAAGTGGTCTGGGTGCCGGGTCCCTCTAGGATTAACCCATTTTTTTAATAAACATAGCAGTTTATAAATGGGTTAATCCTTCCTCCAAATCCTCTAGAGGCTGTCTCACTGACAGCCGCTAGAGGCGCTTGCGTGATTCTCATTGTGAAAATCACAGTGAGAGCACGCAAGCGTCCATAGGAAAGCATTGCAAATGCTTTCCTATGCGACCGGCTGAATGCGCGCGCAGCTCTTGCCGCGCGTGCGCATTCAGCCGAATGGGAGGAGAGGAGGAGGATTGGAGGAGAAGAGCTCCCCGCCCAGCGCTGGAAAAAGGTACGTTTTTACCACTTTCCAGAGCCGGGCGGGAGGGGGACCCTGAGGGTGGGGGCACCCTCAGGGCACTATAGTGCCAGGAAAACGAGTATGTTTTCCTGGCACTATAGTGGTCCTTTAAGGTACTCTAATTTAATGTATTTTACCAATATGTTCCTTCTTTGTGCTTATATACTTAGAGGAAAACTATGAACATTTTAAGGGGTGGCCTAGAAAATTAAGTTAACTTGTTTAAAATACCAACAGGAAACATTTTATCTTAATCAAATATATACTTTAAACATGTAGACGAAACAAACCAAGGATCAAAGCTAGCTGTGCACATTGATTAGGGTGATAGGACTACCCTGTATTCACAACTTATAAGTCAGCTCTTTCTACCAGACCAGAAAAGAATACTCATTGTAAATAACGTCCCTTCTGAATGACTTTACTCATGATGGGATTCTATCACACATGCAACCACACCGTCCTGTTCCATGCATACGCCTTTCTATTCATTGACCCAAAGAAAAAAAAAAAAGATATACATACAATTTAATAAGATTACTGACCTTCTCCTTGGTATGTCTTTGTTGCCCAACAAGCGCATTTCATGTTGAGTCTGCATACGGCACTTCACCAGTTCTGTGGGACAAAGCACCAGGGAAGAGAATACTGCGGCCATGGACCCTGCGGTGGCTTTCTGAAAATTACTGAGTTGTGAGGCATGTTGAATTCCCATGCTATAGGCAACAATATCCTGACAGAAGCCATAACACGCAAACAGGACGGCGTTTTCTCCCACGTTTGCCACCAGAGCAGGGATTGTACCATGATATAAGCCACGAAACCCGTCCACTTTATATGTACGAATTGCACAATCAAAAAATCCCCGATACATTGATGGGAAGGTCTGCATTTTCACCTTTGCAGTGTCAAAGGGCTGTCCACTAAACACACATGCAACGCCACCTGTACACATGGGGAAACAAACGTTTTGAAGACACGCAAATAGAGAAATTGAGAAAGTTTCTACAATGTGTGAATAAAAAAAACCATTTATATATACACACATTTTAGAAAAGCTTTCAATAAAACATACATGCAAATAAATAGCAAACGAATGTGCCATACATATTGTACTATCAGTTGCCAATATAAGGGATTTAAAATTACCAAAATTATTCACTAGGATCTGGTTAGGGATTTTCTTGTAGAAGACAAATTGACAGCACAACCATGGATGCCATGTGATATTTAATGTATTTAACATTGTAAAAGATCCAGTACTTAATGATAAGCAATTTTATAATACCGCTCTATTTTCATGTTTTACATATACATTTTACGTATAACTTTAAATGTGCTCTCGGTGTCTACAAAAGTTCTCTATTAGAAGCATTTGATTTAAAACTACCTAGCACGAACAATGAAATTGGTGTTTGGGAAAAAGGAAAAAAAAAAAAAAAGGAGGGTGGATCAGCTTAGCCGAATAACTTGCAGAAGAGTTAGGATTTAAGATGCTTGGGAAAATAATACTGAAAAACGAATAAATGCATATTTTAATGGCCTTGTTCAGTGCAATAATGATATTCATCTTTAACCAACTTTTCCTTTATGAATCAGTTTGGGACAGGAGGCCATATGTACTAGCCGTTCCTTGATAAAGGTGGCCTTGCACAAAACAACTGTGGATTTGGAGGCAATACTCATAGCTGGTCATATGTTGTCACTAGTCAGAAGCATACCTGTGTTTGCTGGTAAACAAACACACAAAGAATGCAATAAATAAATAAATAAAAACTCACCCATGGCTCCTGATGTCATGTTAATTGCAGTCTGAATAAGGTGAGAAGAGGTTGTCCTGTCTGGTGACATATCAACCTGAATTTATAATGTAAAAAATAAATCACATCACAAAAAGTGGCATCAAGGATAATTTAGCAGTCGTTACAATGTTGACATTTAAAAGGAAAAAAAAATGTATATTGTTGCAACAAACTTTAAATGCGGTACAATATTTTCTGTGACAAAGAAGCATTCATATTCAACAAAATGTGATCAGATTGAAACAGGCGGTTGTAAAACACAGCTAATGGAGGTATGGTAGTCTGTGTAGCCTTGTAAAATTCCAACAATGTACAAGGTTGAAACTTTAAAAGCGCAATTGTAACGCCAAAACTACATGATTACTTTTCAAAGGGCATGAAATTTCAGCTACACATTGTGCTAACTGTTCTGCTCGTCAATATATAGACAGAGTGTGAGCCAGGACGATTGTAAGCTTTTCTGAACTGTTCCAGTGACTTCTTAAAACATTTAAACCGCCACAAAAAAAAAAAATTAAGCGAGTGACAATTCCTTACACACAAATATACATCTCATTTTATTTATTCTAAACCGCCTTGACTATTTTTAGTTATTGAAAGAAAAAGGAATACATAAATGATGTGTGTTTTAAGTGCCAGTAAATGTTTATATATTTTTTTTTTAATAATGCCTATATCAAAAAGACTAGTGAGTAAAATATAATTATCAGTCCCCTTGAGATAAATAGCTCACTGAAATACTTGCTTTTTCAAACGATAATTCCATGTACATTAATTTTCACTGGCTTTCATGTATCACAGATCTGTAGGACTGGCAACAGATGAACAAAAAATACCAAGTCCTAACCCTGTAGTGTTTGCTAAACGAATGCCTCCGCACATAAAAAGAGAGTTTTATCTACTACCTGTCCTTGGGTTCTTTGCTGGAGATGCGGTCTTCTTGGTGGAATAGAAAGAAACTGAGAAAGTGAATGTTATGCTTTCCCTAAAAGAGGATAGCCACACCTTACAGACAGGTAGAGCCAGTCAAACTCAGCCAAGGCAGATGTGTCCTTGCAAACCTTTTTTCCCATTGATATTTTTTAAATGTGTTTTTTTTGGCTGGTTTGATGTTAAAACCACTGTAAACACTGGCTAAGCACGATTATGTAGTAAAATATCCTGGACTGCTCAGCGTTGACAAAAAAAATACCATAAACTGGCAAACCACTTTTGTTTAAGTTCCTCTAAGTGGCTTTTTAATGATAGTACAGAAAAATATTGACAAGAATTGCTTGGTTTGATTACTGAAATCTGCCACTGGACATCCTCTGAGTGCCCAGACTCTTACTTTATCTTTTGCTGTGGATTGTGGGCGTTTCACGGCTCTGGTCTGGAGGCTCATTGCACGGAGTCCATTCAGGCCGGCGTAAGCCATCTCAATGTATTATTGTAAGAACAGTGTATATTAGCAAAATATTTGGTGTGTTGTTTAAAAGACAAGATACGTGTAGAAGGCACTAATATAAAAAACAAAACAAAAAAAAACAAAACCACATTATAAATGTAATTCTAGCTACTAAACGAGATGGGCATTAGACTTGTATATGTTATACAGTATCTTTAATGTTAAAACTACATTGTGACAGAATCCATGTATGTATACATATCCTGTCAACCAAAAATACAGAATTAAAAAATTTACACAAAAAGTTGGATGAAAAGTACTTACAACAAATAATAAAATAAAAATCTAAATAAAAGACAGTGTTTAGACTCTTTGATAAATAACACCAAACCTGCAAATTCTTTTTATCTTCTTCCCTTTTAGTAGACGGTGTAAGTAACGGTTTTGTTTTGGGGGGTTTCACCATTTTTAATTTATATTTTAATAAAAGTAATAACAGGTTGATATGCGTGAAACAATATTAAGTGGATGTGGATATGTTATATAGCAGTGTAAAAAAAAAAAAAATAAGTAAAAACACTACAAAATACAAGCAATGCAGCACACACACAAAACCCAGTTTCTGCTCTGTAACATGTGCCAGCTATATTCATATACCCCAACATACCCGGTCCAAACATGCACTAAATATAGATCATACTTTGCAGTCTGTTTCATGGTTTAGGAAATTACTACATTGTGCTCCATTTCTGTTGATTTCTTAACTTTATCATCATTTTTATAATTTTACAAAAACTAATTTTTTTGTGTTATAGCTTTACATGTGCACATATCTGGTATTTTTTTGTATATGTGTAGAACTCTAGTTTCATAATCAGTTACAATCTGACCAACTAACGGCTCCAGGAGGTAACTTTCGCGACCTATGCAAGAACAACTGGTAATGAGAGAATATGATTATTTACTGTGACTACAAAAAGAAGCTCATCTGTGTCAAAAAAATCAAGGAGCTAGGTAGGGGTGCATTTTCTAGGTCACTGTATGGCTAATTATACTATAAGGAAGCATGGTACAGACAGAGACAGACAAGTCAGCTTTATCTATTCATTTAATTTTTAGGTTTCAGACTTGTTTTCTCGGGAGAAGGTCCAGATATCAGTGGTGGAAGCAGTAGACACAGGTATCAATGTAATACTATAACAAAGGTAATTAACTGAAGCACTCAGGTTTCCAGAAAACCAATATTTATTCTATCAAGTGAGATACAGCGACAAATAAACATTTCAACCCTGAGGGTCTTTATCAAGATGTGACACAATTAAAACTTAAATATTTATGCATGTAAAAAAGTTTAAGAGGTTCATTCTAAGCAACACAGTCTGATTCGCTAAACAGTGAACTGGTAAAGTGATAGCTATATGGCAACTGCTATCAGTTTACAGAACAGTTCCACTCATTCTAAGTTGCTGTATGGCAGTTTATGGAATAAGAAGTTTTGTTTTTACAAAAAAACGTGTTGAAGTGCTACATTTGTGACAGCCAGGAAGGTTTTCATCCTCTTCCGTTAGCTCCAGGAAGCCAACACAAGTGCTCACCGAGAACCACTGGAAAGCCATGGGCGCGAGCCAGTGTCTCCAAAACAGAGGCTTCTCAGTGAGAAGTCTATGTTTGGTGTACTCCCCGGCACAGACTGAAATCCAGTGCGGTTACCTAAATAGAATGGGAGAAAGGGTGTGCAGACCTGGCCTGAGATCTTCTAATCGCCTCACCAGCCCATGGAGTCATAGTGCCCAGGTGGCACAGGTTGAGAGTCAGTTATAGCGCCACCCTGTGTGCTTTTCAGCTAGCTCCATCAGTCATTTTGAGGACCTTTCAGTTACTATACATACAAAACTAATTAGGGTTTACAAATTGGTAGTATTAATAAATGTATTAAAAAAAACAAAAAACTGCCTTTTAAATTTTTTCAAACTGTTCACACAATATTTAAATCTAAATTGTCTTCCCATAACTGGTCACGTAACTGTATCATGAGCTACCTCTGCAGGAGAATACCATCCTTATAATCCAATTGCATTATAGCTGAAGGAAAAAAATACTGTCAGCAAGAAATCAACACACACTATGAAAAGAATAAGGCTATACCTTTTCTTTAGGTTCATAAATCACTAATATAAAAAAAGTCTGCAGGAGAGTCCAACCATTTACCTTTCTAACAAGACCTCAGAATGTGAACTATATTTCAAATTGCTTATACAACACCTCACAAGAATAGTATTTATCATCCTTCATGGGCTTATTGGTAATTTGCATAAAAAAATTAAAATAAAAAAACTGCAGGCCTGTGGGATTTTTTTTTTTTTTTTTTTTAAAGTATCTAAAATTAAAGGATTAATATTGGAATGGCACTGAATATGCCTCAGTAAAAGTTCCCAAAATAAACATAAGTAATATGAAGTCAGGAGTTAATTGTCATTGATTACCTTGGGATGGCAAATATTTTATGCCCCCACTCTCCAAAGTCTGTAAACATTATTTATCAGTCAAGAAAGAGTCAGTCAGCTGAGCATTACCTGGGGTGGTAAAACCAGCCATCCCTAAATTGGGTTGACAACAGTGCTTGATAACTAACAATCTCTCTCACTGGATAGCATTAACATGTGTGAAACACACACCTGAATCCATAGCACTATATGTAAAGCCAACCAATAGCCAACATTGCATTATAAATCATATATTGGTTTTTACATTATTCTATACTCTAGGTATTTATTTTAATAAACATTATTTGGACTATATAAGCCTTGATTCATTTAAAAACTGGGTGGGAAGCTATTTTATATATATATATATATATAATGTTAGTTCAGCTTTTTCTATAATGTGCTTTTTGTCACAATGAAGCTTTCTCACAGTTAGGACACGATTATACCTGGTTTTTGTCCATGCTGCCAGCAAATTGCACCTTTCCTGTTTACAAGTCCCACTGATCGCCATTTGCAAACACCTCCCTGCTGGCGTCTCTTCAGGCACATGTACCAGTGACATCATCAAAACTCGACTGGCTAGCAGGGGGAGAACGCGGGGGCAGGCTGCGCGCTTGGTCACGTGACTTAGTAAGCATGGACCCTGCGGTCCAGCTTGTGTATAACGTGGCTGGAATTCATGATTAGTTTATGGAACGTGCTCAGCTTGTAATACGTTAAGAAGAAAAAAAAATCTCCTGTTAATATCCTGCTTGTTCCAAAAAGTAGAGTCTCTCCTCCCAAATGATTACTTTGAGGTAATTTGCTATTGAGGCATATTTTACTCCAGCCATTTATAATTTTCTACACAATGTTTCTATATACACTGTTGGGACTTGTTAATATACTGCACACAGCTTTAAAATGCAAAATACACTTCTATTAGTGCACCTATATCATATTAAAGTGACTTTGAAATATGACAATGTATATTAGGGATGTGCATGGGCAAAATAATTCGGTTCCACGAAATTTGGGATAACCCCAACCCCACTAGGGCTAGGGTTGGGGTTAGGTTCCTGTCATCATTCACTTAATTTCCCCTCCCTCTCCTGTTTTGCCACGATTCAGAAATCAGAAGCACTTCGGTTTGGCACTTTGTCCGAATTTAAAGGATCACTATAGAGTTAGGAACACACGCATTCCTAACCCTAGAAGGCTAAACCCACCATTTAGGTGGCTTGCCCCCCTATAAAAGTTTAATACTCACATTATTTCCATCGCCACGCGGGTCCGCTGGCACTGGCTCCGCCCACTCTGTGACATCAAAATGGCCACTTTCTAGCTAATCCAATGATTTGCCTATTGGATTAGCTAAAATCAGCACGGGCCCGGGGCCAAGTGCCGTTTTGGACAATCAGGACCTCCTCATTCAGTGTCTCTATGCAGAGCGTGGGGACGCTGACCAGCAAGACTGCTTACTGTGCAGCCCTGAGCCAGGAAGCGCCTCCAGTGGCCATCTAAGGAGTGACCACTTGGAGGTGTCCCTATGGGCAATGTAAACACTGCCTTTTTTCTGAAAAGAAAGATGTCAAATGGTAAGTATGTTTTTGTTTCATTTACAGATTGAGTTTATTACGCTCACCTTCACGATTTTTATTGTAAGGGGGGGGTAGGTGACTAGGGGCTTGGTGACCCCTAGACATTTGGATGGGGAGGCGACTAGGGGATCCATATTCACCTGGGTTGGATTATTTTTACATTTAGCCCCCACCCATTGCCAATGGGACAATAGATCCCCCTTGCCACTTAGGGCCCTCAACGACCATCAAAGGGTGGGGGCCAAGGAGTGTGAGGTAGTAAGTCCGTGTCCACCCTTTTTGTCATTTTAGGGCACCCACTCACGTGTGGGGGCTGGGGAGGAGAAAGTAGATGTCACCACTCTCTTAGAGACAACACAAATTTGTAGATTTAATTTTAACACTAACTGACAAAGACAATACGCAATTTTTTTTTTTTTTTACTAATATACTTTTGAATTTTAATACATTTTCACTTTTTTAAATTTGCCATTTACTTATTAGTTTAGAGACATTGTCAATTGTTCACTAAAAATATTGTACAAAGGTATTGTTCAATGTACTAATACAGGGGTAGGCAACCTACGGCACTCAAGGTGTCTTTGCACGGCACTCGAGGCTGCTAGAGCCAAACACACTCTGGCCTATCAGGAGTCCCAGTAAAACTTCAGATATCTGCTAATACGAAGAGGTGGTGAAGGACAATCCTCAATTTATGCATTGTAGCACTAGGAGGAAGTGATCTCAGATCACTTCCTCCCAACACTTGTGAATGGGAATCCACACTGTAGTAGAGCAGCCCTCGCAGCTCCTGTTCTTGACCTGTTCCTGGCCAGCCTGGTCTCCACTGGAACAGAAATACACAGAAATGCAGAATAACCCTCCCCTCATTCAAATAATATGAACAGCCCCCACACACACAAACACACAATCCCCACAAACGCAACAACACTAACAATATTGCAGCCTCACATGCAATACCCCAAACAGCCCCCACACACTACCAAACACAATGTGACATCCATCCACACACAATTCCACAAGCAGCCCTCAAACACAGCCCACATTCATATGTATCATACACGATACCATAAACTACTCCTGAACATATACAATATAATAGCTCAAATACGCACAAATACAACGATACAAAGCAATTACAGTAAAAATAACACAAGCAGAATACGGCAGCATACACACCTCAATTTAAAAAAAAAAAAAATAGGATCGGCACGCTACGGGACATCACAATCCTATAGCGGCACAGTGCTGCTAAAAGGTTGCCTACCCCTGTACTAATATATTCTCTCTTTAGAATTTTCTATTTTTATCCTTAAGTACGTGTCCCGAATTCGGGAGGAAGTGACGCGACTGAGTGTTCCGTCATGTCACTTCCTAATAGGTATGAAGAACTTTCTGCCTTATAATGAGGACTGCGAATCCAAAGTGACGTGATTTTGACATCACTTCCACCCAATGAAATAATCTACAACAGGTGAAATAGTAGACCTCCCCTTAGCTACTCGTTCATGATTGGCAGAGAGAACAGTGAAACGGACCAATATGAGTAGAGACCAGAAAACTTGAAGGAACTCGATGAAGCAGTGGACATTATGCCGATTGAGAAAGCCCACTAGACTGTGTTAAATACGTCTCATTTGAGAAGCCTTCTTGGACACGCTTTATGAATACTTGACAGATTGTCTTTTATTGTAAAGGTAACATTAAGTCCTATTTTGCTTTATCTTCTACCTGCTTCTAAAAAAGGGTAGTCCCCTTTACAAGCAATCAAGTTAACATTCCCAGAGCAAGGTTGCAGTGGCTCTGGATAAGGTGTGCGGCTTATTGCACCAAGTTATATAAATTTATATGTGTAGACGTATTATACCAGAAGCTTTTGCTTCCTGTCGATTTCTCTTTTTCCCTGGAGAATAAGATTCTTGGACATGAATATGTTAAGTATCATCATACGACACTACTGCTGTGGGGATTTGAGCCTGTCCCCTAATGAGGTTCTTATCCCTGTAAATAGATACTTTTATATAGACCATATTCGTTAAAGGACCACTCTAGGCACCCAGACCACTTCAGCTTAATGAAGTGGTCTGGGTGCCAGGTCCTTCTAGGGTTAACCCTTTTTTTAAATAAACATAGCAGTTTCAGCCCAGGAGGAGGATCGGAGGCAGAGAGCTCCCCGCCCAGCACTTGAAAAAGGTAAGTTTAAACCCCTTTCCCGAGCCGGGCGGGAGGGGGACCCTGAAGGTGGGGGCGCCCTCAGGGCACTATAGTGCCAGGAAAACGATTATGTTTTCCTGGCACTATAGTGGTCCTTTAACAGAGTTACGCTTTATGGTTTGTTTATTCATAATCTTAATACATTAAATTTGAGGGTGAGTCTATACCCCTCTTTTTATTAATATTTTGCTTTTAAAAGTTAGTGATAGATTTGTGAGAAACTCACAGAGAGTGGTAGCCACTTTTGTAAATTGACCTACATTATTAAGCGCCTTATACACAATAAGCTTGTTGTTTGTTTTCTTTATAGCTCACTGAATTAGTTATAGTAGCTGGAGTCCCTTTGGCGAGTTTTCCGGTGCACAAGGCAGGTTTCCAGCCTCAGGATGGAATAAACCACCATGGCGTCTATCCAGTCTAATGAAAGTGAATTAAAGCAGAATACCAACCATTCGGGCACACACCAACCTAAGCTCAGACATATGGTGAGGAACCATGAAACGCAACTTGTGTGTTCTCTGCAGTCTGTGTTAGATATAGGAAAGAATAGGAATATTTGGGCTGATGACCTTGTATAGCTAGGAAGGAGGGAAACCTTGAGGGATGGACATCATTTTGAAGTTTGATGGAGTGTCTTAACCAGTACTTTCAAAAGGAAAGCTAAACTGGAAATGTAAGTACTGCAGTTTTTTTATTATGTCAATAAGATTAGGATGCCAAGAGTCAGTTTCATGATCATATTTAAAATGTACTAATGTTATCAGCTGGGACTGTTCTGTACCCATGAAGGAATAGGCTAACCGCACGGCAAAGATTCTTGGTCCATGTTACATGCTGCCGATTCATGAGATCTGTCGGCATATTCACGATTCAGAAAAATGTGGCATGACGAGAGAAAAAAAACAAAAAACAAACAAACACGTGTTGGAAAAAAAAAAAAAAGACTTAAAATCCCATTTATTAATGAATGGTTATCACATGTCACTTCTTTATAACCAGTAAGTTCCTCCTAACAAGCTTTATGGAGAAAACATACATCAGGCAGAAGATGAGGAAAATTTAACAAACAGAATACAGGAATTGGGGCCAAGGGATCGTAATAGACGTGCTGAATTAGATAACCTAAGCCAGCAGGCAACAACCACACAAAATAGTCTACAAAATAAATTCATGGTCCAAAGTGGAAAATAAAATATAAAAAACAGCTTTTCAGCTGGAGGTTAGGGCAGCAAGAGACTTACTAATGTACAACAAAAATTTAAACTGCATGATGGTCTAAGGTGGTAGGAAAGGGAGGCACCATGGCACTGGACTGAAATTAACCTGTGCTCTTTTGGAGACCAGTGTGAAATGGGTTATCTACTCCTCAGCGCTTTTCACATTATATAAATTTACCTGCCCATACGTAGGTTTAAACACCCCCCCCCCAACAAAAATTGTTGATAAAAATCTAGGATCAGTCTCCACTTGCTCTGAAGAATGCCCTATATGACATGAACACTACCAATACAAAACCAGTCTCACAAGCCTGTGGAACAGGCCACCCTGCTTAATACAATCAATATCGCCGACGTTTGTTAGGGCCAAAATCCCCTCCTCCGGGAGTTCCACGGGGAAATGCAGTTTGGTTGTTTCCACCAAGGCTTTCTATGTTGGGAGCTTGTCCAAAACGCTCAGTTGGTGGGGTTGCCTAGAAAGACAAGTACATTAGACCATTGATTCATTTACGTGTTGGATGTTTACTAAAAGGCAAGCTTATTCCTCTTACCAATCCAATTGCAGCTCCTTCGGGCATCATTGCACCAGCTCCAGCAGAAGCTGTGGTGCCGGCAGGAACATTAGTAGCGTTGAGGGGAGGGCGGTTATTAATACCTATTGAACCTGTTTAAGGAATAAAATGTTCCAGATATAAGATCATCCACAGAGGATTAACATTAAAAGATTATAAGAGCAAAAATTCTGTACCTGGCATTGCCATCTGTGCCATCCTCAAGTCAGCTTCCCTCTGAAAAATAAGAATAATTTACTCTATAGCATAAAAAAAGTACTTTTCTTTTACAAGGATTTCACACTTCAACATGCTATTATTTATATACACAAAAATATTTGTATTTATTGGAATTAACTTTTTTCAAATTATACATAATTTAATTCTATTTTGAGAGATATTATATATAAAAAATACAAATAACTGCAAATGATGAAAATATAAACACAAATTACATATACACGTAGAATTTAAATACATTTATTAAAATTCTGTGTATATTTAATATTTTAACATAATTATGTGATTTAATTAAAATGTAATTGACGTGCCTGATAATCCAGGCAGAAAGTGCAGAGAATTTAATTTGCAAGCACTCTATTTAACCCTGTAACTTTCCAAGACACCATAAAACCTGTACATGGGGTTTTACTCGTTAGAGTCAAATATAAGGCTTGCATTTCATTTTTGCAAATAGTATGCCATCATAGAGGTAATTCTCAATCCTGGGCTACAACACGATCTCAAAAGTAACATTACTAATCTGGCAAATTTCAATGTGAAAAAACAAAACAAAAAAATGGAACGTGCTATATTTGACTCTAACTTTCCAAAACACAGTAAAATCTGTTAATGGGGGTACTGTTGTACTCGTGAGACTTTGCTAAATACAAATTTGTGCATGTTACTGCAGTAAAAGCAAACATGACATTTACAGCTAAAATGTCAGGCAGAACTACAATTAAAAAAAAAAAAAACAAATCTTAATTTCTCGCCTTTAATGTTAGTCATAAGTTATGTTTCATATATTAATAGTTTGAGAAATTAAAGCCCTGTTTCTCCCGAACAAAATGATATATAAGTGTGGGTGCACTTAATATGAAAGAGGTGAATTACAGTTGAACAGAGTGTAAATTCCAGTTTTTTGTTTACATTTTGTTTTGATCAGAACGTGTACTATTGACTCCATCCTGAAGGGGTTAAGCACCATGGGAAAAAATTAAATAAAAGCCTGCTTAACTGTTTGACACTTATATTGGTTCCATCAAGTACCTGTGCTGCTTAAGTGTTAGAGCTAGAGGTGTTATCCACATTAGAAAAGTTGTTTGATTCAATCATTTGGTAAAATCAAACTGTTGAAACGATCAGCATTCGAATACTCCAGGAGAGAAAAAAAAAAAAAAAAAATATACACACATACACACACACGATGTGCAGTATTATTGAATCCACTTATTCAACAACCCACAGCTTTAACCGACAGTGACTATTTTAAATTCAATGAAAGTCAAATAAAATCACCAACAAAGACTTACTGAATCAGGGTAGTTGCCCTTGTAGCTTTCCTGACGCCTGAGCATCTCCTCTTGCTGCCTTCTTGTTTCTTCCTCACGTCTTCGACGCTCCTCTTCATGTCTGTGAAAGCGGGGACATTACATTTTTTTTAAAAAACAAATACTGCAACGCATGTGAGACCAAAAAGAGAATTAAAAAAACTGCACACCTGAGCTCCATCTGCTTGCGTTTCTGCATCTCTTGATTATGCAACTCTTCCATCCTCCTCAGCTCTTCCTGACGTCTCATTAGATCTAACAAAAGGATACAAGCAGAAAGTCCACATTAGCAGTGTGTTATAATATGTATTTAAAGCCACTCTATCACCAGGAAAAGAATGGGCTTGGGGGCTAGGGCACAGAAAGCAACCAAGCATTTCATAAAGATACAATCTTCATAAAATGCACCTAAAGACTGCAGCCAAAATTCTTTTAGATAAAGTAGATACTTTGTATTATGGTAAAAAGCACAGCTAGAGCCATCAAGTTTTCTCACTCACCCGAATAAGGTATTATCTTGCTCAAATATTTTACCAGGCTCCCACGGTCTTGTGAGACCTTTGTCATTAGTGCTGTATGCTTGCGCATACATGAGAGTACATCACTGAAGTGGGAACCTGGCAGATGAAGTGCCAAAAGATGACGGTGTCCAAATACAATTCACCATAACTGCCCTACCATCGCACTCCAAACGATGAAGTCACCATCAGGGGTATTTGCAAGACCCCAGAAGGTGCGGAAGATGTTTTAAAGCGTTTGTAAACCATTATAGGCACCCAGAAGACTCCAGCTCATTTAAGTGTTCTGGGTGCAGTGTCCCGGGCCCAATAACCCTGTAATTATAATTATTGTAGTTTATTAACTAGAATAGTTACATTGCATGATTAACTCCACCTCTAGCAGCTGTATACCCGCTGCAAAATGTAGTTATGCTATGAGGATCAAAAGGAAAAATAAGCTTGTTCCACGAATAAGTGTTCTAATGTCAACATCGAACTCCATGCTCACCTTGACGCATCAGCATGACCTGGTGCTCGTGCCGTGCTGCCTCCATCTCAACCTCCATCTTTTCTTGTGCTTCCTTGATGTTGCGGTCAACTTGATCCTGCTGCTGCTTCTCCATTTCAATCAGAGCTTTCCAACGCATGGCATACTCATACTCAAAGCTTCCAGGCTGGGCAAACCGAGCGGGCTGCTCACGTTCCCTAGAACCATCAGAACATACAATAAGATACTACATTTTCCAATATAGAGAACTGTGGATGCAGTTGGAATTAGAAATTGAATAATCATAGAATTTGCTCAATTGGGTCTTGTACAAGCATGTGTTATTGTAACCATAAGGGAGAATTATATAGATATATTACAAAGCATGTTGTAACAAAAATGTATACATATGTACAGAAAAATACACACTTTGCTTGCTACATGGATTTCCACTTGCTAATGATGTAGACTAACCTCCGCAAAAATGCTTCTGCAATATACTACAATTACCCAACTTGTGAACCTAGTTATTGCTTTGATGCAAATGTAAAAACATGCAGTAAAAATAAAACTTTTGACAATATTTTTATTTAGCTAAACCCAGCATTAGATTAAAAGCAGGACTCAAAAGATAGCAGCTGTTTATTATTTTTTCTTGCTAGGCAGACCTATGCTTTATGTTGCTTTGTATATGGCATTCATTTTCATGCCTGCAGTTTGCCTGCCCATTAGGTATTGTTTGTGCAATGGCAATTCCTATACTCATGACTTCCAGTATTCTTTTCACTTCTATCAAGTTTCACATTTGAAGGACCCTTCTGAAAAGTCAAATAAAGTTACAGTGATTTTTACAAAAGATCACAGGGAACATACTTGTGGTACATCTGATTCTTATTAATTAGTTTCTCTGGAAGGCCTTCTTCTTCATCATGTTGATCCATAGGCTCCACAGTAATGGGACGGGGGAACCTGCAAACAAACATTTTACTACATCTTGTTCTCTCACAAACTGCTCTTATTGCAGCTCAACCATATAAACACCTTTAATTTTACACAAACATGGTATACAACTAAAACAGAGCCATGTGGGGTTTTTTGTTAGTCATTTTGTGACAGGAGAGCCAGGGATACAATGCAAACCACCATTATATGAACTAGGATGGAAAGATGATTAACCACACTAGAGGCACTTTCATGTGCTGTAAAAATAAAAATAAATAACCAGTAATCCAGAGGTTACAGATCCTTATTAAAATAAACAGGAAGTTAAATTAGCCAGTAAAATACAGGCAAGAAAGAATCTGTTATACAGCTATATGGGTTGATTTGAATACCACTGTATGGCATTACAAGAGGATTGTGTACACCACTTTTTTTCTGAGCTACCACTTATACAAGTAGACTTGTCCAAAATTCACCTTATAAAAAGGGACAAGCATCACTTTATCTCACTCAAAACAAGAACGTGTCTTCACCTCATTCAAACTACTTACGCTGTTAGGAGATATGAGCCATCGGCACAGCGGTCAAGAGCTTTTCGTGCAGATGGTTTAGAAGCAAACTCGACAATGCCTTTGCCAGTTGGTCTTCCACGATCATCCACAATTACCACGGCCCTTTCTACCTGGCCAAAAATGGAGAAGGCCTCCTCCAGAAGCTCATTGGACACAAACTGAGGAAGGTTTTTCACAGAAAGAGCAGCACTGTGGCAGGCAAAACGAACACGCAACTGCTTCCCACGCAGTGGTAAGTTATCAAGCTCTGCCTTGGCAATTTCAGCTAGAGTACGGGTTTCCTGTGAATAAGATATATGTTCTGTCATGTCTGAACAATAACCCAAAATAATCATAAACACACGGACATGTACACACAACAACCATATAAAAGCAGTAAAAACAATATTTTCATTGCTGTATTAAGAGGCACGATCAATTCCAGACTGATTAAGGGTCACTGTATCATGGAATTAGTCAATCATGTCATTGAATTAGTTATATTGTCTGGAGTCCCCAGGACCCTTCTTCTGTTCTGTGCCAAACCATTTGTATGACTAAACAAGAGCCCCAGCAGGCCGTCCCCTCTGTGCTGCTCAGGCGGATGAGGAAGCATTAGTGTTCACAGTCATGGACATGAGTGATTTGCTGAGCGTGTCAGCTGACCTTTTGTAATAGAACAGTGCTCATTACATGTATAAACAAGGAAGAGCATTATCTATATCCTTTAACATTTCTAGGACTGGACACTGCAACAATGCTTCTCATAGAGAAGCACTGGACAGAGACTGCTGCTGTGCATTCGTCAGGTGTACCCAATGCTTCTCAAGGAGCAGCATTTGAAGTGTATAGGGATGGAGGACTGCACATAAGAATCAGGCCGCAGTTTAAGAAAAAAGCTACACACTTTTTATTGAGATCTGCGCCTTTAAAATGTCAGACTTTTTGGAGTTTTCCTGTGGATAACCTAATAGTGTAACAATTAAATTAGGTCTGGACCCCTAAAAGAGACAAGATCTTTTATCATTAGGTTATATGTTAAAAAATTAAGATTTGCTAGCAACTTGGCCACACTAATATATCAATCTAATGTGATTTATAGAAGGTCACTGCATCCTTTTTAGTTACATTTTGACAGTCATGGCTGCTTTTTTTTTTTTTTTAAATTACCTTTATCTAGCACTTTGTCATCACGGAAGAGCATTGCCTACTCCAATATCAGTTCCAATACTCCACAGTGCTTTCAGAGGGGGACTGCAGTCACATGACCGAGTTTTAGTGTTCTGTTTAACCCTGCAAATGTTTTATATTGCAGGGTTAAACCTACAGGACCACAGCACCCGGTGGTCCTTTAAAAAGACTCCAGGCACCTCAAGCGATTCAGGGCCTAACTGCATTTCCCAGTCTTATTTTAGAAAAAAGTGACAATTTTAAGGGAAACTGGGAACACTTAAATTATTTATACAATATCAATAAGGTTGGTCTGAAATGTTTACTAATACATTTATTTTGTCTTACTTGAAATCAAGAATGAAGATTATTTTGAAAAAGACCTGTGGGTACCATCCTCTGTGCATGCAATTGTTAAAGTCAAAGTCTGCATTAGAGACATTTTTTATACAAATAGTATCCCACTTTGACATAAATGGAGGACATAACCTTCAAAGCCTGCAAGCAATGGCCTCACAAACCAATAATCAGCTGGCTTTTGTCAACCTGCGCACCGCGATACCCTTGATTTGTAAATATAGAGAAATCATTTCTGCAGATAACAGAAGAACCTGTTAGACCAGGCAACACGTGGAACTCACCAGTCTGATGAAGCCAAATCCTTTGTCCTTGTGTATGTAGATCTCACCAGCCTTGCCATACTTCTCAAACATTTTGCGTAGCTCCTCCTCGGTCACATCAGATGGAAGGTTACCGACAAACAGACGACTCCTCTGAGTATAAGTTTTCTCGCCTGGCTTACGGAAATTCTTCAGATCAATGGTCACCCCTTCATCTGGAAAAATAAATTACATATAATGAGCATACACATATCCTCTCACTACCACCACTAACTCTTATTTACTATGAAGGGAGTAAAAATATTAACTTAAATAATTCAGTCAATATAATCTCTTTAATGCCAGTACCAGAGAAACGCTATAAATGGACCACTTACTGGGACTATTCATCTGCTGCCCATTAGTAGGTGAAGGAGCCTCTTGCTGATGCTGCTGCTGATGATGATGCTGCTGATGATGATGCTGCTGTTGTTGCTGTTGGTGGTGGTGTGGGTGCTGTTGCTGGTGCATCATTTGCTTCCGAGGAGCATGATTCTGCTGGTCCATCTTAAAGCCTCGGTTCCCCTGCATGATTCTTCTATACGAGAAGAAAAGTCATTAATGCACTGCAAAGTCAAACTTAGTATGAGGACCATACATCACACTTATGGAATGCAGTCCATCTAACATATGACAATATAGAACACCATTTTAGAAAAACCCAACAACTCAAGTCCGCCACATCCCGATTGTTCTATTTCGACAAGTATGGCTAAATGACATATCACTCAACTGATGCTCTCAGTCACTAAGCACGGTACTGCTTAGCTCAGTAACGCTAGTTAGATTCTCATACAGGAGATTCCAGGAAGTAGGGTGTGCTATGACACCACAGGCACAAGGGCACTCCTTGCAGCGAAACCAGTAAAGTGGGCTGTAGTGCTTCCAATGTTCGTTTCATGGTCGGTGGCAAAACATTCTGATAGAGACAACGAAACAGTTAAGGCTCCTGTGTGTACAAGGCCACTCTGGCTCTTATATGTCCTAAGTTATGTAGCTGATTGAGATCCCAGTTAGGGTTCACTATGGTGTTTACATAAACCACCAAAACTCATGAACTGACCTAACCAAATTGCCATAATAGTAAAGAAAAATAATTAATATATATAATATATATATATATATATATATATATATATATATAATATACATACATATACATACACACACATATATACATATATATACACACACATACACACACACACACACACACACATACACACACACACACACACACACACACACACGCATATATATGCGCAAGTGCTGAAAATTTTCAAATGTTGGAAGCTCCCTTCCCATCTGGTATTAATTGACCTGCCTTATGTTCTTCTATGAGATTGCCATCTAATAGGAATCAGAGACTGGCAGCCTTGAGACCTACTGTAGTGCTCTAAAGACCCCAGATGGTCTATAACATAATAGATTCAGTAAGGTCCAGCCTCCACCTATTCATTTGAATGGTATGCAATAATCAAAAGCTTTTCAATGGCATAACCAATGCCAAACCTCAGAATTCTGGAACGCAAACTGACCCAACAGAGGCACTTAAACCATCTTATGGAACTTGCACACTCCCATTTAGTTTGTAGGTGGCTTTCCCCCTGCCACACCGCCATTTTCAAGTATTGACAATTTCTCAAGTGTTACAAAACTCACTACAATGTATACTCCAAATGTTTGCATTCCATATGGTAATCAAATGTTGGGCAAAACCCAGCTATTTTGCTACATTCTGTCACTCACGTAATTCTAAAATGCATCTACTCTTGATCAAAAGATTTCAATAAAACATTACATTTGAGACATGATAAATACACAGTGACTCATCAATACTGAACACTAAAATGTAAAATTATATTCATTGCTTTTTGTGCAAAAGTACAATGGCAAACTATTGGTTCTGATTCTGATGTGAACCAAGGTACTATTTCTATAATTAATAGTGCATCAAGGAAGACATCGAATGGACCAAAGATTAGGCATCATTCCAGCATTTACTAAAAATCTGGAACTGAAAACCCAATGGGAAAATTTAGGGTAAAATATTTAAGCAGATACGAGGAAGAGACCCCCCCCACAATCTTACCTTGTGCACCCTTCCCACCCCTTAAGTTTATTGTATTTTGTAAATATTTACACGCATTTTGATGGATTTCTCTATTTATTAAATCAATATATATAACATTGCCCCCCCCCCCCAATCTCTTACTTCCCCTTTAGTTTATTATATTTAGTAAATATTTAATAAAACATTTTGATGAGCTGTCTATTTCCCTCTCTCTGTGTGCTGATATAGCAGCCCATACAGTAATAGATATTGTATAAACCCAGTGCATTGTGTGAGAGCAGTCCCATAGTACCCATAGTGTGTGTATAGTGTGTGTATAGTGTGTAACCGCCCTCTCACTGCAGGCACGGTCTACACACACCATCCCCCTCTCTCTGTGTGTGCTGATATAGCAGCCCATACAGTAATAGATATTGTATAAACCCGGTGCATTGTGTGAGAGCAGTCCCATAGTACCCATAGTGTGTGTATAGTGTGTAACCGCCCTCTCACTGCAGGCACGGCCTACACACACCATCCCTCTCTCTGTGTGTGTGCTGATATAGCAGCCCATACAGTAATAGATATTGTATAAACCCGGTGCATTGTGTGAGAGCAGCCCCATAGTACCCATAGTGTGTGTATAGTGTGTAACCGCTCTCTCACTGCAGGCACGGCCTACACACACCATCCCTCTCTCTCTGTGTGCTGATATAGCAGCCCATACAGTAATAGATATTGTATAAACCCGGTGCATTGTGTGAGAGCAGCCCCATAGTACCCATAGTGTGTGTATAGTGTGTAACTGCCCTCTCACTGCAGGCACGGCCTACACACACCATCCCTCTCTCTCTGTGTGCTGATATAGCAGCCCATACAGTAATAGATATTGTATAAACCCGGTGCATTGTGTGAGAGCAGTCCCATAGTACCCATAGTGTGTGTATAGTGTGTAACCGCCCTCTCACTGCAGGCACGGCCTACACACACCATCCCTCCCTCTCTGTGTGCTGATATAGCAGCCCATACAGTAATAGATATTGTATAAACCCAGTGCATTGTGTGAGAGCAGCCCCATAGTACCCATAGTGTGTGTATAGTGTGTAACCGCCCTCTCACTGCAGGCATGGCCTACACACACCATCCCTCTCTCTGTGTGCTGATATAGCAGCCCATACAGTAATAGATATTGTATAAACCCGGTGCATTGTGTGAGAGCAGTCCCATAGTACCCATAGTGTGTGTATAGTGTGTAACCGCCCTCTCACTGCTGGCATGGCCTACACACACCATCCCCCTCTCTCTGTGTGCTGATATAGCAGCCCATACAGTAATAGATATTGTATAAACCCGGTGCATTGTGTGAGAGCAGTCCCATAGTACCCATAGTGTGTGTATAGTGTGTAACCGCTCTCTCACTGCAGGCACGGCCTACACACACCATCCCTCTCTCTCTGTGTGCTGATATAGCAACCCATACAGTAATAGATATTGTATAAACCCGGTGCATTGTGTGAGAGCAGCCCCATAGTACCCATAGTGTGTGTATAGTGTGTAACTGCCCTCTCACTGCAGGCACGGCCTACACACACACATCCCTCTCTCTCTGTGTGCTGATATAGCAGCCCATACAGTAATAGATATTGTATAAACCCGGTGCATTGTGTGAGAGCAGCCCCATAGTACCCATAGTGTGTGTATAGTGTGTAACCGCCCTCTCACTGCAGGCACGGCCTACACACACCATCCCTCTCTCTGTGTGCTGATATAGCAGCCCATACAGTAATAGATATTGTATAAACCCGGTGCATTGTGTGAGAGCAGTCCCATAGTACCCATAGTGTGTGTATAGTGTGTAACTGCCCTCTCACTGCAGGCACGGCCTACACACACCATCCCTCTCTCTGTGTGTGCTGATATAGCAGCCCATACAGTAATAGATATTGTATAAACCCGGTGCATGGTGTGAGAGCAGTCCCATAGTGTGTGTATAGTGTGTAACTGCCCTCTCACTGCAGGCACGGCCTACACACACCATCCCTCTCTCTGTGTGTGCTGATATAGCAGCCCATACAGTAATAGATATTGTATAAACCCAGTGCATTGTGTGAGAGCAGCCCCATAGTACCCATAGTGTGTGTATAGTGTGTAGTGTGTAACCGCCCTCTCACTGCTGGCACGGCCTACACACACCATCCCTCTCTCTGTGTGTACTGATATAGCAGCCCATACAGTAATAGATATTGTATAAACCCGGTGCATTGTGTGAGAGCAGTCCCATAGTACCCATAGTGTGTGTATAGTGTGTAACCGCCCTCTCACTGCAGGCACGGCCTACACACACCATCCCTCTCTCTGTGTGTGTGCTGATATAGCAGCCCATACAGTAATAGATATTGTATAAACCCGGTGCATTGTGTGAGAGCAGCCCCATAGTACCCATAGTGTGTGTATAGTGTGTAACCGCCCTCTCACTGCAGGCACGGCCTACACACACCATCCCTCTCTCTCTGTGTGTGCTGATATAGCAGCCCATACAGTAATAGATATTGTATAAACCCGGTGCATTGTGTGAGAGCAGTCCCATAGTACCCATAGTGTGTGTATAGTGTGTAACCGCCCTCTCACTGCAGGCACGGCCTACACACACACCATCCCTCTCTCTGTGTACTGATATAGCAGCCCATACAGCAATAGATATTGTATAAACCCGGTGCATTGTGTGAGAGCAGCCCCATAGTACCCATAGTGTGTGTATAGTGTGTAACCGCCCTCTCACTGCAGGCACGGCCTACACACACCATCCCTCTCTCTCTGTGTGCTGATATAGCAGCCCATACAGTAATAGATATTGTATAAACCCGGTACATTGTGTGAGAGCAGCCCCATAGTACCCATAGTGTGTGTATAGTGTGTAACCGCCCTCTCACTGCAGGCACGGCCTACACACACCATCCCTCTCTCTGTGTGTGCTGATATAGCAGCCCATACAGTAATAGATATTGTATAAACCCAGTACATTGTGTGAGAGCAGTCCCATAGTACCCATAGTGTGTGTATAGTGTGTAACCGCCCTCTCACTGCAGGCACGCCCTACACACACCATCCCTCTCTCTCTGTGTGCTGATATAGCAGCCCATACAGTAATAGATATTGTATAAACCCGGTGCATTGTGTGAGAGCAGCCCCATAGTACCCATAGTGTGTGTATAGTGTGTAACTGCCCTCTCACTGCAGGCACGGCCTACACACACACACCATCCCTCTCTCTCTGTGTGCTGATATAGCAGCCCATACAGTAATAAATATTGTATAAACCCGGTGCATTGTGTGAGAGCAGCCCCATAGTACCCATAGTGTGTGTATAGTGTGTAACCGCTCTCTCACTGCAGGCACGGCCTACACACACCATCCCTCTCTCTGTGTGCTGATATAGCAGCCCATACAGTAATAGATATTGTATAAACCCGGTGCATTGTGTGAGAGCAGCCCCATAGTACCCATAGTGTGTGTATAGTGTGTAACCGCCCTCTCACTGCAGGCACGGCCTACACACACCATCCCTCTCTCTCTGTGTGCTGATATAGCAGCCCATACAGTAATAGATATTGTATAAACCCAGTGCATTGTGTGAGAGCAGCCCCATAGTACCCATAGTGTGTGTATAGTGTGTAACCGCCCTCTCACTGCTGGCACGGCCTACACACACCATCCCTCTCTCTGTGTGTGCTGATATAGCAGCCCATACAGTAATAGATATTGTATAAACCCGGTGCATGGTGTGAGAGCAGTCCCATAGTGTGTGTATAGTGTGTAACTGCCCTCTCACTGCAGGCACGGCCTACACACACCATCCCTCTCTCTGTGTGTGCTGATATAGCAGCCCATACAGTAATAGATATTGTATAAACCCAGTGCATTGTGTGAGAGCAGCCCCATAGTACCCATAGTGTGTGTATAGTGTGTAGTGTGTAACCGCCCTCTCACTGCTGGCACGGCCTACACACACCATCCCTCTCTCTGTGTGTACTGATATAGCAGCCCATACAGTAATAGATATTGTATAAACCCGGTGCATTGTGTGAGAGCAGTCCCATAGTACCCATAGTGTGTGTATAGTGTGTAACCGCCCTCTCACTGCAGGCACGGCCTACACACACCATCCCTCTCTCTGTGTGTGTGCTGATATAGCAGCCCATACAGTAATAGATATTGTATAAACCCGGTGCATTGTGTGAGAGCAGCCCCATAGTACCCATAGTGTGTGTATAGTGTGTAACCGCCCTCTCACTGCAGGCACGGCCTACACACACCATCCCTCTCTCTCTGTGTGTGCTGATATAGCAGCCCATACAGTAATAGATATTGTATAAACCCGGTGCATTGTGTGAGAGCAGTCCCATAGTACCCATAGTGTGTGTATAGTGTGTAACCGCCCTCTCACTGCAGGCACGGCCTACACACACACCATCCCTCTCTCTGTGTACTGATATAGCAGCCCATACAGCAATAGATATTGTATAAACCCTCGTGCATTGTGTGAGAGCAGCCCCATAGTACCCATAGTGTGTGTATAGTGTAAACCGCCCTCTCACTGCAGGCACGGCCTACACACACCATCCCTCTCTCTGTGTGCTGATATAGCAGCCCATACAGTAATAGATATTGTATAAACCCGTGCATTGTGTGAGAGCAGCCCCATAGTACCCATAGTGTGTGTATAGTGTGTAACCGCCCTCTCACTGCTGGCACGGCCTACACACACCATCCCTCTCTCTGTGTGCTGATATAGCAGCCCATACAGTAATAGATATTGTATAAACCCGGTGCATTGTGTGAGAGCAGTCCCATAGTACCCATAGTGTGTGTATGGTGTGTAACCGCCCTCTCACTGCAGGCACGGCCTACACACACACACCATCCCCCTCTCTCTGTGTGCTGATATAGCAGCCCATACAGTAATAGATATTGTATAAACCCGGTGCATTGTGTGAGAGCAGCCCCATAGTACCCATAGTGTGTGTATAGTGTGTAACTGCCCTCTCACTGCAGGCACGGCCTACACACACACACCATCCCTCTCTCTCTGTGTGCTGATATAGCAGCCCATACAGTAATAAATATTGTATAAACCCGGTGCATTGTGTGAGAGCAGCCCCATAGTACCCATAGTGTGTGTATAGTGTGTAACCGCTCTCTCACTGCAGGCACGGCCTACACACACCATCCCTCTCTCTGTGTGTGCTGATATAGCAGCCCATACAGTAATAGATATTGTATAAACCCGGTGCATGGTGTGAGAGCAGTCCCATAGTGTGTGTATAGTGTGTAACTGCCCTCTCACTGCAGGCACGGCCTACACACACCATCCCTCTCTCTGTGTGTGCTGATATAGCAGCCCATACAGTAATAGATATTGTATAAACCCAGTGCATTGTGTGAGAGCAGCCCCATAGTACCCATAGTGTGTGTATAGTGTGTAGTGTGTAACCGCCCTCTCACTGCAGGCACGGCCTACACACACCATCCCTCTCTCTGTGTGTACTGATATAGCAGCCCATACAGTAATAGATATTGTATAAACCCGGTGCATTGTGTGAGAGCAGTCCCATAGTACCCATAGTGTGTGTATAGTGTGTAACCGCCCTCTCACTGCAGGCACGGCCTACACACACCATCCCTCTCTCCCTCACACACACAGTTTCCCCGGCCAGGCCGGCCCCGGGTCTCCCCCCCCCTCCTCCTCCGATCCATCCCCAGCCCTGTGACGGGAAAGCTCACCCGAACAGCCGTTAGCAGCGAGCCGGGTCTCCTCCTCGGATCAGTCGAGCCGCCCTCCCGCGCAGCAAAAAAGAAGCTCGTGCCCGACGGAAGCCGCTTCTGCGAACAAGGCGCCCAATCAATCCCTCCCCCTGCCTCTGCTTCCGGTCTGCCGATTCGACGACCGCCCCGTCCGTCAGACCTACAAGCCCGCCGCCGATTGGCCAGGCGCGCCGACGCAGCCGCACGTGGGCGGGGGCCTCCCGACTCATCGGCCGCTCTCATTGGCCAGTTCGCACGTCGCACGCGCCGAGAGCGTTGGAGGTTGAATCGCTTTCATTGTGAGGGGGGAGTTGGAGGGAGGGGGGCCCTGCGCATGCGCACACCACCCTGCGTGCTCTCTATGGCAGCAGAATCCTATTGTGAAGCAGGGATTGAGGCCTAGTGCCTGTCTATGAATCCCAGCCTGAGACAATCCACCATCCTGCTTTATTTCAATGTTAACAAGGAGGGGGCTGGCTGCCATTTTGGATAGTATTCCATGTTTTGGAGCTTTGTCTCAGTCTATCTCATGGCTGGGGAATTCCAAGCCAGTCAGTATGAATATTTTATAAAGATTTTATCTTTGTGTAATACAATATATATATTTTTTTTTGGGGGGGGGGGTTGACAGTGCCACTTTAAGCGACCCCTAAAGTCTGCGTTCCAGTGCTGAGACCCCCGTCTCCCTGTTCTTCAGGTGAGGGCTCTTTCAGAATTTGGCAGAGAGCGTTTAGCGGACGCTCCAAGCCGTGACTCTCCATTCATAAAACTGGCTTGGAAATATACGTTAGTTTTAAAGGCAGTTTACTGAATGGGTTAAGGTAAGCCAGCTCCAGGGACCTCCTGGCACCATAACAATTACATTTCAGTGAAGTTGTTATGGTGCCAAAACTGGTCCTTTAAAGAAATAGCAAGGAGCACGACGATATGTAACCCAAGGTATTCTGGGTTTACTCCGTAAATAAGGATTTTATTAATGTAGCAAAATTGCTTACACAACAAATGCACATGATTTGAACATACTTAAAGGGACACTATAGGCACCCAGACTTTACCTCATTAAAGTGGCTTTGGTACAGTGTGCCTATTGAACAGTGAAAAACGGCAATGTTTACTATGTCTTCTTTGAGGGACTTACAGAATCATCACAAGATGAGGTAGCAGCCAGAGATCTACCAGAAGACCTTGAAGAGTTAATTCAATACATGTTCAATATTGACATAAGAGTCAGACAGAAACTTCTCCATTTAGAGAGGCAAAGAAGGGTTCTAGGAAGAATCATGCCCCATCCTAGGCTAACTGAACTCCCTGCCTTACTAGCACCTGATTCTGATCCTATGCATTTGGGTACAACCCGACTTTCTGAGGCTGAAAAAACTTACCGAAGGAGAGAGGGGTTGTGCCTATACTGTGGCAAGAAGGGACATCTACGTAATAATTGCCCATCCCGTCCGGAAAACTCCACCGCCTAAGTTCGTTCAGGGGACCGGCCTTGGGTGTAATGTCTTTGTCTTCTAAACCTCCTACATACAGGTGTCTTATGCCTGTAACCCTTTCTTGGGGAAAGGTGTGTCATCAAGCTATGGCCCTCATTGATTCTGGTTCTGCTGACAACTTTATTGACCAGACGTACTTGTCATCTATTTCTCTTCCTTTTGAGAGCAGAGAAGCACCCTTGGCCGTTGAGGCCATAGATGGTAGACCTTTAACAGTCTCATATGTGACACACCAAACTAAGACTGTTATCTTGTTAGTAGGGGTTATGCATCGAGAAAACATAATATTCCAAGTCATTTCTTCTCCTTCTTGCTCTATAGTTCTTGGTCTAACCTGGTTACAGAAACACAATTCTGTTATAGACTGGAGAGAAAGACAGGTATAATCTTGAAGTCCTTCTTGTATGCATACATGCATTAACCAGGTTAAAACACTCTGTTCTCTCAATACTCCTACCTCTCCTCCACTATCCACTGTTATACCTCCTCAGCATATGGATCTCAAGAAAGTATTTGAAAAAGTGGAGGCCGATCATCTACCCCCTCACAGGCCTTATGATTGTGCCATCACACTCCTTCCAGGTACTATGCCAACTAAGGGAAGAATTTACCCTCTATCTCAAACTGAGAATAAAGTAATGGAAGAATATATACAAGAATCCTTAAGAAAAGGATTTATTAGACATTCTTCCTTTCCTGCAGGGGCCGGTTTCTTTTTTCTGCATAGATTATAGGGGACTAAACAGAATTACTCGGATTAAAATCTATACAAAGATTTATTGGATTCGCAAATTACTATAGATGGTTCATTAAAAACTTTTCTCAGATCATAGCTCCTATTACCGCTATGACCAAAAAAGGAGCTAATCATATCAATTGGTCTCATTTTCCTTCCTTCGCTCGTTTAAAGGAAGCTTTTGTATCAGCTCCAGTCTTGATGCATCCTAATCCCTCTAGACCAGTGGTAGTCAACCTTTTTCTACCTACCGCCCACTAATGCATCTTTCTTGATGGAAAAATTTCCTTACCGTCCACCAGTTTTCGCGCAAGTGCAGAATATTTTTTAAAAAGGAGGGTGTTTTAAAAAAATACGTACATTTATCTTTTTATTTCTACCTAATGCATGTTTATAATGTTTTTAACTTTATAAAGTTTAATGAGAAAACAATAAAGTAAATTGAAATTACCTTTACTAGGGATTAATGAGATCCTTGAGGTTGATGCTGCGAGACTAAATATTTGATATCTGGTTTGATTTTCGTAAGGAACAAACGAAGGTCTCCCTTTTCGGTGATATTCAGACGACTTCTCTGTTTGCATATAATATGATTTCTCATCTGTGTGTCAGCTCCTCTCCCTCCTCAATTCCCCTACCCACCTTTTTTTTCCCCTTTTTTCTTTCTTTTTTAACCTTACTTATAGCAATGCCCAGTAGGAAGGTTGAGCTAGGTATCCCACTTACAATTACTTACTATAGCTCACTATAACAGACAGCCACACATACATACAGACACACACACAAAGACACATACATACAAACAGACAGGCACACATACACACACACACAAAAGACACATATATACATACAGACACACAGACAAGGAAAACACACACACACAATGACACATACATACAAAGACAAGACACACATACATACACACATACAGACACACACACAAGACATACGTACAAAGACATACATAAGACACACATACAGACAGACACACACAAGACATACATACAAAGACACAAACACACATTATATTTAAGTCACCCTCCTGTTTCCTACCTTTAAGGTGCAGGAGGGTGACTTTCCCTGGGATCCAGTGGTGGCTCAGATGGATGGGAGTCAGAGTTCCCACTCTGACTCCCTCTGCTTCCTCCCGCGCGGTCTGTGTGTTAGCTGGGAGGAGTGACGTGCAGTCACTTCCTCCCAGCTCTGTGATGTAATCACAGGGGCCCCGGTCGTGCTGCTAAAGTGGCCAGCGCTGACCGTCCTCCCTTACAATCCACATCCATCGGGTGGCCCTGACAGCATGGGCCACCTGATGGACCCCTTGGGCGGCGGCCCCGTCCCGCAAATGGTGACGGCGGTACCCGGTCGCAGGGGTACCACCGGCTTGCGCCCGCCCGCCCAGTCTCTCAAAACGAGAAAAGCCCTACCGCCCACCTGGAATCCTGAAACGCCCAACCAGGTTTACGACCCATGCTCTAGACCCTTTATCCTAGAGGTAGATGCCTCTGAATCTGGTGTATGGGCTGTACTTTCCCAGAGGGCATCTCCTACGGTGTTACATCCACGTGGGTTCTTTTCTCATAAATTGACACCTGCAGAAAAGAATTACGATATAGGTGTGGCAAACCTAGCCACTTTAGGACATATTGCAGAACATTTAAAGGTTGTCTGAAATAACTGTGTTAACCTGGTGTAAAAATGTATTCGTGTGTTTTAGAATAGAGCGCAAGCATAGGCTAACAGCCGTGAATAAAATTGTCAGTTGACTCCTGGAGCCGTGAATAAAATTATCAGTTGACTCCCTGAAATGTGTTTCGTCCGGTTACTGGAGGATTTGGGATATTGCCTTCTTTTCCAGCACTTTACTTTGGATTATCTTCTATACCAGCGGAGATCTTGGGATTTAATATTGCAGCTCCACTACAATTGGTGGCAAGCGACGGGATCCAACCTTACAGCCGAAAAGCGGTGTTCGGGTAATTGAAACTACCGAACAGGAAAGTGAATGGCAATTTGGATACAACAAAGACCCGAACACAGAGGTGAATGGAGACAGACTACACTGCATTGAAACGGCAGACGTTAAAGGAACTATTGGAAGCCAGGGGTAAGATAGCCATCAATAAGCCAAAAGCTGTGCTGATTGCTGAATTGATGGAGGGAGACAGAGCTCGCAGCGTTACACCCCCACCAGCCAGAAACCCCCTTCCAAAAGGAAATGAGGACCAGGATGGAATTTTTACCCCAGCCAGTACCCCTGGAAATACTGACAGTACTGATGGCGGATGTGCAGGAGTATGTGATGGCACACGGACCGCAGGATGTTCCTCCCAGAGCAGAGTCCATTACTGCTTCAGTCATCAGCCAGGTAAAGCCTAAGATCCCATACCATGCGTTTAAAATGTTCTGTGAAGAGAAAGATGAGATTGATGGGTATCTACAAGACTTTGAGAGGCTACGTGACTTGCATGATTTGGAGCAGGCAGTGTGGGTACCTTTACTGGCAGGCAAACTGTCAGGTCGGGCAGCCGAAGCCTATCGAGTTGTACCCTACTGCACCTACAGCAAACCCATTCCGGCCAACCCTGGGGGGCACACTCCACCATCCAGGTATTATGGCAGAGCGAATATACAGTGCCATACGTGCAAACAATGGGGCCACATGGCAAGAGAGTGTACCCAGAACCGGAGCCGCCAAGCATGGAGCCAGGTACGGCAGAATCCAGCACCAAGAGCAGCCGCCCACCACTACCAAGCGGAGCCAGCAACCCAGGAGATACTTTTTAATCAGACCGAAGAGCCCATGGGGATACTACACGATGTGATGTCGGTACAAGCCACAGACAACAGGCAACACCATCGCCAGCTAGTAACCCTGGAAGGGAAAGAGGTCCAAGGGCTCCGGGATTCGGGAACCACTCTGACTCTGGTAGCCCCTC